TCTTTATTCAATCCGGCTTTTAAATTAATTTTTTTACGCACATTTTGCATACATTTACCATAGAAGCTATTGTTCATTAATTTAAAAAAGTTTTTGTCGAATTGACTATTGCTAAGTTTTCGTTTTTCATTATTAAAAAATATATATGGTTGTAAGTAAGGCGCTTGTTTAAAAGAAAGTATTCTATGGATTTTTTTTAAAATTAATCCTTCCTTTAGATAATATTTTAAGTTTCTATAGTGTACAATATAACGTAATTTATCTTTTAAAGTCGGAACTAGTTTTTTAACATTATTGTTAAATTTTAGATTTAAAGAAGATAAAAGCGATTTCTGATATTCGGATAAATCATCGTATTCTATTGTTTCGTGACTTACTGCGAGGGGTAAATCATTATGTCTATCGTGAAGCGAAACCGGATATTCTAAGTCAACTTCGAGTATATATCCTATTTCGGATTTTGAAGAAACATTTTTAATATTAAATTCGTCAATTTCGGATTGTCGCAACCAACGAAACTCTGAATATGGGAGATATTGAACCATACTCAATCCGTATAGATTATTGCTATCAATTGTTATTATGTAACTATGGGGTTTCGAATTATCGTAAGTTTGAGATATGTACGGATTGTTTGCATGGGAATATCTATTTGTCACCAGGGTAAACTCCCCCCCTTATTAGGGATTCAATAAATAAATACATATCTAAATCGGTAAATAGCTCTAGTTCTATTTTAGCCATTTTCAATCCAGCAATAAATGTAAGATTTGGACAAGTTAAAAAATGAATTGGATCGAGATCGTAATACTTTAATGATAAATTACGAAAATTTGAAAAAAATATCGGCGAGTAAAATAGTATCGACAAATTGATATAATTGCAAGTAATCTGAAAATTTCCTGCAATTAAAAGCTTTCCACACAAGATGAGCTAAATCATAATCTTCCGAACTTATGTGGCTTCTAGTTAAATCGTTGTAAAAACATTTTTTATCCGGTAAAGAATTATTATTTAATTTTGAAATATTATTAAACCAATTATATGGAAAAACACCTTTTCTTTTTAACAGATAACTATTTTTATTATTCGAAAAAAATTGATTAAAGATCGGAAAGTCATACTTTGAATTTATTAAATTCTCAGACTTGATAATGATGAATTTAAAAAGTGGTAACTGTCTAAAAATTTAAAACAGTCTAAAGTATATGTAGTGTATTTTTCCATATTAATGGGAATAATTCTAAGAGAGGATATATACTTTTTAGAAATATCTTTTAAAATTAGATGCGAATCGTAACCAGAAAAATTATGAAGAACTACGGGAATAAACGGTTTTAGATTTAAATTTAAATTACATCCTTGACACGCTACCTGTCGAAACCTTCCATTTAAATGATTATGATCAATTACGCTTACATCGTTAGGGGAAAACTTTTTTCCACAAATATTACATTTATCTCGATTAATAGAATTTGGAATTGTTCGAGGATCTAATGGAATATTAAGTTTTATTTCTTTAATAAGACGTTCCGATTGATGTTTTAAAGTTTCTAAAAAATTGTCTATAACGTCTAAGCCGCAATAAAATTTAGAATAGATAATTGTTTCGTTTTTATCTAATACGACCATCGCATAACAAATCGGTTTATGAATTTGCGTAACGGTACTAAAGCTAGTATCTGTTGATTGCATCGCGTTAGAAACTGTTTCTGTTAAACATTCGAAGTCGCAATAAACGACAACAGGATGCTTAAGCATCTTATGAAATTCGTTAAATTTAAGAATGGAATTTTCGACTGTAGGTACCGATAGTCTTTGAAATTTGAAATTTGTACATATTTCTCTATGTAAATTTAAACTCGATTCGCGTTGAAAACCATTTAAACAATTTTTACAATAGTAATAAAGAGACTTTTGTTTTTCATGTAAAAGTCTGTTGAAATTTTGAATTAAAAAATAATGATTTTGGTATAATAATAAATTCGCAATTTTACTGAATTTAAACTTACTTATATAATATGGAAAAACAATATCTTTATAGCCATATATATTAATGGAAATACTATTTGATTTCTCAAAAGCATATATTTGCTCCAACGAAACCGGATATTTTAAGTTCGAACAATTAATAAATTTTAAATATTTTCTATAGGTAGATATATTATTTTTATTATTTTTCAATAGAAAAATACTCGCGAGAATGCAATACACAAAACATTTATTATCATTACATCGAATATTTAAAATACACTTTTTATTTACTAAACGTTTAGGTAAAAGTATGGAACCACACCCTCCATTATATGCAGTATATGTTGCTCTATGAATATCAATATAGTCTAATTTGTAAATTACCCACCTACTGCCTAATACTACCGCAACAGATATATCCCCTAGAATTTTGTTTATTGCATTCTCAATACTTTTCCATGCTAGAAAAGTGCTTAGAACTCGTTCGGCATAACTCGTAAAAAAAAAATCTTTAAACTCGTATTTATCTCCCATTTCTATACATTTGTACATTATTACTTTTAAGCTAAATCACAAATCGTACTCTATAATCATTCCCGAAATTTGTAATTACGTTAAAAAGTTCTGATTTTATATCTCTAAAAAAAATGGTCGGATCGACATACTCGAGTTCTGCTTTACGATAACACTGTAAATAATTTTGAAACGCTGATTCTACCAACGAAAACATTTTTCTTTTTAAATTTTACCTGATGGGTTAATGATTCCAGACAATTTCTTCATATAAGAGAGATGATAAAACTAGTCTACGATGATTTTTTCATATTTTGAGAGAGAGAGACGTTCGCAATAATTCTATTTTTAAAAAAAAAAATCAATTAAATTACATAATTTTTTAAAAAACATTATATTAAAAAAATTACTTACGCATAGATTTTCATTTATTCAAATGAAATCTTCCAGATATTTTTGAACTGTGTTCAAAGCTTGAATAAAAATTTAACTTCTTTTACCGGGATGTTGAATCTATTCTGTATCTCGCCTTTAGCAGTTGTTTTCGCTAAACATATATAATACTGTTGTCTGAATTCTTTAATTTCCAGGTTAAACCCATGCGATATGTATATCGAATACGGTGGGATACTTTTAAACGAGGATTCATCCTTCGATATGACTAAGTCATACTTCTTTTTTTTCTCTACCAGTGCATCATCGATTTTTGTTGTCGATTTACGCTTTTTAGTTGTAAAAGGGTTGTCGATTACAAACAATGGCTGAGAATCTATAAAAAAAGATGAATAACTATAAAAAATAATAATTTAATTTTCTTATTTAAAATCAAATCTAAATAAAAAAAATCTAACTTACCTTCCATAGACATCTTTTCTTGCTTAGTTGTAGAGAGAGAGTTGATAAACTAATAAATCTATTTGTCTATTTCTCTCGCTTTTTTATATCCTTTTGATAATAAAGGTTATTACCCTTTGACACCCCTGATATATCCTTTTGATAATAAAGGTTATTACTCTTTGACACCCCTGATATTGAATAACGGGGTGTGAATTTTTTCTTGAGAATGTATTACAAAAAATAGATTTAAGGGAGATAAAAAAATGACTGACAATAGAAATATTTTGATTTCTTATTGAGGGTGATTAAAAATGATTTCTGGAATTTTAGAAACTAAAATTTTCATGGAATATACTTTAGAAAGAAGTGGTAAACTATTTGCAGGTTACCACACATTGAATGAAACCTGGGATTTTATAAATATTTTTTCTTTCGACGAACTAATTTTTAATAATGAAAGGGGAGAAGCATATGTGTTAGAAGAAAAAGGTAATTATTTTTTTTATATTTTATAAAACAATTATTTTTTTTATTTTAATTTGTAGAAAAATCTTTTATTTTTTTAGTAAATTTTTTTTAATAAAAATTTTAATTTGTAGATGAACCTGACAAAGATTGGGAGTTTAATAATATTTTTAATTTTAATAATAATGTTCTATATATATACTTAAGACTGCAGGATTATACCACAATTAACAAAAAAATATATAAACAATACACCTTTTATCATAATGAAAAAAGATATACTTGCAACAGAATAATAAAAATTATGGAAGATAAAGAAGTGGTTATTCATTACAATCAAGAAAAACAAGATAGTGGTGGAACATGATAACACCCTATTTATTTTATTTGAAGTTGTAAGTATCTTTTTTTCAAAAATTTAAATATTTAGTAATNTTGAACTGTGTTCAAAGCTTGAATAAAAATTTAACTTCTTTTACCGGGATGTTGAATCTATTCTGTATCTCGCCTTTAGCAGTTGTTTTCGCTAAACATATATAATACTGTTGTCTGAATTCTTTAATTTCCAGGTTAAACCCATGCGATATGTATATCGAATACGGTGGGATACTTTTAAACGAGGATTCATCCTTCGATATGACTAAGTCATACTTCTTTTTTTTCTCTACCAGTGCATCATCGATTTTTGTTGTCGATTTACGCTTTTTAGTTGTAAAAGGGTTGTCGATTACAAACAATGGCTGAGAATCTATAAAAAAAGATGAATAACTATAAAAAATAATAATTTAATTTTCTTATTTAAAATCAAATCTAAATAAAAAAAATCTAACTTACCTTCCATAGACATCTTTTCTTGCTTAGTTGTAGAGAGAGAGTTGATAAACTAATAAATCTATTTGTCTATTTCTCTCGCTTTTTTATATCCTTTTGATAATAAAGGTTATTACCCTTTGACACCCCTGATATATCCTTTTGATAATAAAGGTTATTACTCTTTGACACCCCTGATATTGAATAACGGGGTGTGAATTTTTTCTTGAGAATGTATTACAAAAAATAGATTTAAGGGAGATAAAAAAATGACTGACAATAGAAATATTTTGATTTCTTATTGAGGGTGATTAAAAATGATTTCTGGAATTTTAGAAACTAAAATTTTCATGGAATATACTTTAGAAAGAAGTGGTAAACTATTTGCAGGTTACCACACATTGAATGAAACCTGGGATTTTATAAATATTTTTTCTTTCGACGAACTAATTTTTAATAATGAAAGGGGAGAAGCATATGTGTTAGAAGAAAAAGGTAATTATTTTTTTTATATTTTATAAAACAATTATTTTTTTTATTTTAATTTGTAGAAAAATCTTTTATTTTTTTAGTAAATTTTTTTTAATAAAAATTTTAATTTGTAGATGAACCTGACAAAGATTGGGAGTTTAATAATATTTTTAATTTTAATAATAATGTTCTATATATATACTTAAGACTGCAGGATTATACCACAATTAACAAAAAAATATATAAACAATACACCTTTTATCATAATGAAAAAAGATATACTTGCAACAGAATAATAAAAATTATGGAAGATAAAGAAGTGGTTATTCATTACAATCAAGAAAAACAAGATAGTGGTGGAACATGATAACACCCTATTTATTTTATTTGAAGTTGTAAGTATCTTTTTTTCAAAAATTTAAATAATTTTTTTAAATGATTTAATTTTCTTTTTTATTTCTAGAATCAATAGAATAGATTATATTTATTAAAACAATAAAAAATTAATGGTGAGTAAAAATATTTTTCTATGATTTTTTCAGATATGTGCAGGTTTAAATTTAATATTAGTTTTTTTTTTTCAGGTTCAATAAAAACACATTTTTTTTTTTTAAATAGACTTTTTATTTGAGTAAACTAATGCTACATTGATTACATTTAATTTTTATATTAGATGGTAATTTAGCCAAGCAGAAATTCTTGTGTATAAGTCTCATTACAAAAGCATCATTGAATAGTTTAGTATTAGGTTGTAATTTTCGCATATTTTGATTTCTCAATATTTGATAGAGAAAATATAGACAAAACCACTTACAATATCTTTAGTCTTGTCAAAGATATATATAATTTCATTCGCGATATCTCGCCAATGTTCTCTTATAACAGAGCGATTTATTCCAGAAACTCTCGTTCAAATTTCGCGGAGAAGTATAACCGAAGGGGCATCGAAAATGGGTGTGGTTTCGACTCCTATGAGAGTTTCTGGGATGGTAATTATCTCAGAATCGCTCGAGAGATTCTGCGATTTTGCTCGATTTTAGCCCCTGCTCGATGTCTTTCCCTCAAAATGATGAGAGTTTCTGAGATAAAAGTTATAAACCCTCGCAAAGTTAACCAAATTATCCCAGAGTCTCTCATATATATACTACTGTTAATTTTGAAGAAAAAGCTTCAAAGTTTAACTTCCTTTGTCTCGCCATTCTGTGAAATTTAACACCGATGAGTCATTGTTTATACATCTGGATGAGCTTGAACACAGCTGGAGTTAGATTTCCTGGGGCATTCTCTTAGACGTCGCGGGAGGACAAGGATTTAAAGTAGGGTGAACACTAGCTGGTCGTATATTTTTAAATATTTTTAAAAAATTTGGAGACTTAAAAAACATTCCAAAAATTCAAAAAAAAAAATTTCAAAAATGGCTTTAAGGACCGTGTTTTATGTAACGCTATGTAACCTGCCCGAGTTAACTCGGACGAGGAACTAAAGGGATTTTAATTAACTCTTCACATCCAGATGTCGGTGATTTGTTTTTAGAGTGAGCTTTTGCAATTCGGGGATTCCCCTTGTACATGATACTTACCATCGACAAGTCGCTATTACATCATTCTGAGTTTCACATTGAAAGGTATAAACTGAATTAAGTTTGAATACAAGTTTATTTTAAGCTTTTATATGAATTTCTTTCATACATTTGAAGTAATTTATTAAGCAGCCTATTTCTTTTAATTTCTGCAAGCTTTTTTATGCGGTTTTAAGTTAATTTTAACTCGTTGTTTTGGTTTTATGTGATTTTAGAAAATTACGGAATGTATCCCTACTTTTTCAAGGCAAGTAAAGTCTTTTTTTATGCGAATTTTTTATATGCGCTTTTCTGTAGAACGTATCCACCGCATAAAACGAGACCTTACAGTATATGGAACATTGTGCCCAACTAGAAAAGAAGTTCCAGCTCCAATAAAGAAGAGAAAGCTAAGGAAGGGAGAGCTACTGACATTTCAAAGAGGAAAAGTAATGGTCATGAAATGGCAGGACAAACAAATTGTTATTATATTATCCACTGTTCATAATTCAGAAAAACTAGAAAAACAACAATGAAGCCAAAAGGTCATCTTCGACTATAATGACATGATGGGAGGTGTTGATTGTTTAGATCAACATCTTCGTGATTACTCAATTGTGGGAAAAAGAGTAAAAATGGCAGAACTCAGAACAATTTAGATTTTTATGCAAACATAATCAGACAACTGACTGAAGAATATCATTCAGAATCTAGAACAACAAAGGGTCGACCAAAACAACCAGGTGCCCTTCGGCTAACTGGGCGGCATTTTCCAGAATTTGTTCCGCCAACACCAAAAAAGGCTGAACCAATTCGGCATTGTACTCTCTGCTGTAAAAGTGTAACAGCACAGGAAAGAAAAAAGAAAGGAAATAAGATACTATTGCAAAGAGTGTGATGTTGCATTAAGTGCAATACCTTGTTTCAAAGTGTATCATACAGAAGTAAATGTTTCATTTTTTATATATTTTGAATATGAATTTCTTGACTATATATGTAGTAAATGTTTTGTTATTGACATTTTATACATCTAATTGCATTTTTATAATAAATCATCAAGTAATCAAAAAAATAAATAAATAAATGATATAATAAAATAAAATAAATTCAACCAAAATTCTCGTAATAACTGACAAAATCCTGGTCAGTGACCTAGTATACATCAACAGTTTTTCCCACCAAAAGAAGTTGATTTTTAGAACAAAAACAATTTTTAATATTTTGCGTTCTTAATTTATTTTTAAATTCTACTAGGTAACTTGACAGTTCAATTAATGTTAACTTGCTTAAGATTAATTGAACTCATTTTATATATAAAAAAAAAAAAAATGAAGTAGTTCAATTTTAAAATCTATGATTTGGTGAATATTTCAGACTCCACATTTTTGGGGATAGCAAATGGGGTTAACGTTTGAATGTATAAGTATTTTTGATTATTAATGCACATGCTGACTATTTTTTTCTGCAATTTATTGTGGAACAAAAGTAATAATATAAAAATTAGACTATAGAAAATTGCTTTATCTTTGAGAAAAATTATCAAAATGAGACAAAATGGAAATTCTGATGTGGACACAAAGAAAGCAGAAAAAATTATGCATGTGTAGTATTAAAAATTATGTAAAGTTGAAACTGAAACTTCTGGTGCTATGTAACAAAACAAATAATGACAGGAGGGTGGCATCTATTACTTTTTAGTTTAACATTTATGCATAAAAATAACTCTGCTTAAAGTATTACCTTAAGTTCTAAAAGAAGTGCATCTAGTGATAGAGATAAGTGTAAAAAGATCAAAAAAATACTTGTTTATAAATATTTTTTATTACACTTTCTATCAGTTTTTTATGCTCTTTCCATGAGTGCCTCACACTTTTATTTTTGGTTGCATAATACCTGAAGAAAATTTATATTTTACTTTTTAGTGCATTTATGTAATAAAAAGCATTTCTTAAAAATTTAAAAAAAATACTTTTTATTCATTTTAATTCTCTGAATATAGTGAAGCTTTTTATCTACCATAATTGTCTTTTCTATTACTACATTCCTGTGAAAGACAATAACATTGTACAGTAGAACACTTCTAGTGAGAACTTACTGAAGTCAGCAAATTGTTCTTCTCTAATTTCTGACATTCCAAACACAGGGAACTAATGAATGCTACTCACAATGGTGAATACTCTGGTCTGCAAATATTTTTCTCAAGTAGTATACTCAATCCAGAATAATAAATTTGAATTGGTCCAGAATAACAAATTGGTCTATGTTCAGAAATATCAGACTAAAATGCTACTTGTTAGTAAAAAACATGAGTACATTTGAATTTTTTCTGTTAATTTGAAATGGTGACATAATGGAGTCTAGGAAAGAGTACTTGGAGTGGAGCACAAATTTATGTCGAATTTTGTTTTACATGGTACCTTGCTTACATGCAATCTGCATAAAAAAAGCCAAACTGTATAATAATTAACTTAAAGTGACGACTGGTGCTGACACCTACAAGACCTAGAATACATTTGGAATCTCAAAACTTCATCAATAGTTAGATTCAAATGTATAATACCTATTCATTACCACTTGGTGATTCGTATTGTAGGTCTGGTTAAATTTGTGATGGACAGGAAGAAGACCCTCCTATTTCCTATAGGGCAAAAAAGTTAGCTAAATATATAGTTATTACATTAATTAAATTATGTATATTTTATTGACAATGAATATATTAAATGATGTATTTTTAATTAAATAGGAACATGACGTGACTCAGATGTTTCAGTTACAACCCAAGAGAATACCCGCTACGACTGCTCAGAATATTATTTTCCTTGTTCGACCAAAACTTTCTCTTATGGATATTGTTGCTGATTATGTACTTAAGTATGACTTATATTGTTTACAAATTAAATTTAAAAAAATTTTATGAAATATAATTATATTTTAAAGGATTATTTGAAAATTTTATTGCATTGATTAGAAATTTTAAGAATAAATTCTATTAAACGAAACAATTTTTCTGAACCAGTAGAATCTTAAAAATGTTAATAGTTTTAATTAATTTATTCACATCTTTTAATTTTGAACAAATTAAATTTCTATTAAATTGTATAAGGTGATCAAACAAAGTTTATTTGTGAATTAGGCTTTGTGATGCCAGAAGTTGACAGCTTATGAATGACTCGTCAGTTCATTTATTTAGAATTCAAAATGTCATCCTTTAATTCTATAGCAAATGAATATTGTTTAAGATCTATAACTGTTTCGCGGTGTCTCTTAATCTACTATTTGCAAGGAAAGTTTTGATAACCCAATATTAACTATTTAAATTGAATTGAAAGATGTATAAAATTATTAGACTATATTTTTTTAGAATATAACTTTTAAGTTTTTTAATAATATAAATAAGTTATTTTAATTTAAAAAATTTTAATATTAAAATTTTATTTACAATAGAGATGAAGAATCAAAGGTTTCTAAAAAAGAATTTCATATATTTTTTGTACCAAGAAAAAGTTTACTGTGTATTAGAAAACTTCAGGTAAATTTATACATTTATCAAGATTTGTAATTTTAATTTTTAGAATTTTTTAAAAATAAAATAATGGAATTAAAATGAAATACTTATTAGGCTACAATTTTCAAATAGCAGACCTATAAATTCCCACTAGCATCCATTTATCTTAGTTAATCTTGAGAATAGTTAGATAGATGAAAGTTGAGACTAGTATGGAAAGCTTAGGGCAGGAGGTCTTGATTAACTATATATGTTCAGTCTGGACTGGAAATCATGTGATTTCAAAACTCTCTTCAGAACAGAATTAGATAGATGATCAGCAAGCATGAGTCTTGTTATCAGGAAAAGTATGATGTATAGGGTCAAGACACTACTAAAATCGAGAGCACATATTTTTAAATTAAATAAATTAAAAATATGATTAAAAATTGTAGCTCGATATTTGACAATGTCACAATAATTTTTACTCATTTAATTAACATTTAAATAAATGATATTTATGATAAATGAAATTTTATATATATATAAAAATAAAGATATATATATATATCTTTATTTTTCATTGGCAACATTAAAAGTAAACATTTTTTTTTATTTACTTAAGAAACCAAAATATAAAAATATGAGGAAACAATTACTTCTATTTGTCTATTTTGGATTCTTTATAATACATTGTATACTTTATATTATCCTCATTACTTTATAAATTTCTGTCAGAATGGATATCTGACATTTCATTTCAAACATTGTTCACTTAATCAAGATGAAGATATAAAAATAGATTGTAATGTTTTCAAATTTTTCTATAATAATAATTATAACATAATAGCTTCAAACATTAACATTTCATATGTTAGTTGTTTGTGGATAATAATATCTAAAATACTCTCAGTGTATGAAAAGATTTTGATTTACACAGTATTTGAATTTCAAGATTTTTGTTTATCACAGTTGGGAAAAATGAAACAAAATTTCATCTTATATAATTCAATTTCAGTTTAACAGGATGTTTTATTTTCATTAAGAAAATTATTGTTAAAGCTTCTACTTACTGTTACAATATTACAATCACATTGTTGCTACTTTCAAATTACATATTCAATGAAATAAGATTTCTCATTTTGTACTGTCTTGACTTCATATTGTAAACATTAAATGTAATTCCATATTGGAATTACATTTAATGTTTACAATAAAGAATTAAATTGAAATAAATAAGCTTTGATAATGGATTTTATTCAGTTAAGACCAATAGCATCTTGGTATACAATTAGAAAAACACAGATTGAAAAAGTAGGTAATAGAAGTAACATAAAATTTTTACCTAGAAAAGTGACCGAGTGGGTAGCTGCTAAATAACATCTGTTCCTTATATTGGAGGCAAATTACAAACATGGCCCTAGTTATGTAAACATACCTGCTTTTGTAGGGATAGGAAAAACAATTATCACACATTTGTAGTATGATATTGGCTTGCATGTCATCTGAGTTAACAAGATCTGTATTCCAGAGTTAGATGTTAGCTGACATTAGAAAAATCTGCCATGATCTTCCTTGGCCACCAGTGGCAAATGCAGCACTGGCCCAAATATGACTACTATGTCACAAACACATTCATTATCTTACTCCTTCGCAATGACAATATAAACCAAGCCAAAGTGTTTTGGTAGCAACCCAGTCACTGACTACCAAGACTGGAAAAACATTTCAGTGAATGAAGTGGACTTGAGACATAAATGAATTTATCATCTGTACTTATTACACCATTACAAAGCTGAAAACAGACAATAGCATACAGACACCACAAGATAAATTATGTTACAGAACAGAAGGTTGTTGATCAAAAAAGAACAATTATACACAACAACTTTATTCCACTTAAACATATTAATATGCTACAGAACGGATACATCAACATGTAAAAAATACTAGATTACTCACTTTTTTTTATAAAAGTGAATGATTATATCTGGCAAATATTGCTAATTTTAGCTTCGTATTAAATACTAGATCACATTGAAGATCAAACACTCACTGACAATATCTCAGCAATACTCATTCATGAGAACATATACAGAATAACATAACAACATAAACATAATTACAACCAGTGACATTCTAAAAATAGAATAACACTTCACAAATTTATTCTAAGAAACATACACACTAAATATACAGGATTAAACTCCACCCAATGATCCAAATTCCTAAAATACACACATCAAAACAACTAGGGAAAACTTTAACTATCTAAATACCCATGTTTTACCAAAATATATTAAACTGAATCAACACTTTCATCCATATGTACATATATATATATATATATATATATACATTACAGTGATCAGAATAAACTAGTTACATACCATGGCTTTGAAGTACAGTGACAGACAGTTTCAAAACATAGATAAATTATAAGCTTGCACAGCAAAGAAGACTAGCGACACAAATATGTAACATTAAACAATAACAAGACAGGCTGACACAATACACTGGAAACAACATAACACCAAACGTAATGAAAGAGGTTAAGAAAATATTCAGGAAAATCAAAACACATACAGCACAAACACAATATGCACATACAGAAATATACTGACACTTTCAAACAAAAACTAATAGCAAAGTCATAAAGACTCAAATGATACAAAAGCTGCATATTGCAAAAATAACAAAATAAATTATTCACCAAATAGTGAGGCACTCCTCTATAGACAACTATATACCGACTCTGCCACACAATCGCAGTACTATAATTTCCTTACAGTCCTTACTTCTAATTTATTTTTAATTGTCTACTTGGACATTACTCATTAATAGGACTTTACACTGGTGTTTAAAAAATTGACACAACAATGAGAGTTAGTTCAGAGAAAATAAATTTTCTTTATTAAATCACCTGTAGTACAGTAGAGTCTCGAAAACTTAGCCTAATGTGGACTGAAGGGTGGCCGAGTTTGTGAAAATGCCGGGTTATCGGGAATGGGGTTAAAAAAAATAAGTATGAGTGTTTCCTCAGAAAATACTGTACTGTACTTGTATGTATTGTTTACTTGAGAATAAACTGCCCAAATACCCTTAAACCAGCGTTTCTCAAAGTGGGCGATAACGCCCCCTTGTGGGCACTGGAGGCTTTCAGGGGGGCAGTAGAAGGCTCAAAGAGAATTGGGGGGCGTTAAGGAAATATAGAGGGGCGACGGCAAACAAATTCTATATATAAAAATTTGACGGAATATATATAAAATGTTGACATTTTATATATTTTTTATTTTTTATTGAAGGTCACAACTTGAATATTTCTAACACATTCACTTTTATTTTAGCTCAGTGTTTCTCAAAGTAAGCAATAACGCCCCCTTCTGGCGCGATGAATAGATCTATGATAGAGGCAGGGTATTGAATGGTGACCAAAGGCAAAATTGGGGCTGATAAGAGGAAACATTGCGTTTAATGGTTTCCAGATGATGAGAACAATGTACAGTAAGGGCACAAAGTGTGAGATTCATAGAAAAGTTTTCCTAAGAATATTTCCAATCCTTTTCTCACACAAGAGAAAATGGGTTAGGGGGCATTGGGTATAACTTTATGGAACAAAGGGGGCGGTGGATCGAAAAAGTTTGAGAATCACTGCCTTAAACAAAGGAAAAGTACGTCCTTTATGAAGGCATAGAGCCTTTACTACATGAAAATGAAAATTAATGAATACACTGTGTACAGTAATTTACCTGATAAGACAGACCCCAGAAAAATACTTCATGAGGCATAAAGCTGTCTATAATGAAAATTAATTAACTAAGGATTTTTTTGCCCTGCCAGGGTGTGGCCGAGTTATCCGGACTGCTGGGTTATCGAGTGCCGAGTTTTTGAGACTCTACCGTAGTAACTTTTTCTCTCGTTGTTGTGTCAATTTTTTAAACACCAGTGTAAAGTCCTATTAATGAGTAATGTCCAAGTAGACAATTAAAAATAAATTTTTACACAGAAACACAAACATACATTAAACCCAAAAACTACAACACCATAAATCCTACACAATACATGAAGGATTTATGGTGTTATGATGAATCATGTACCTTCTTACACTCTACAAAATACTCACTTTGTGTATCATATACGAAATATACCATCATATAGAACAACATAACATTCTATCAAAGCAATAAAAGACTCATGTAGAAACCAAATAGGATGCAAAGAATATTTATTTAGACTTGGTTATTCTACAACAAGCATACAAACAACACAGAGTCTTACATGTAGCATACATAAGTTATAGGAATTCATTTGACAATATCCATATTCATGGTTATTGCAAACACTACATCAACACAAAATACAACCAAGACTCATAACATTTTCTAGAAAACACAATGCAATACTGGAGAACAACACTACACCTCAGACTTCATGATACATTCATTAAAACAAACAAAATACACATAAGACAAAGCATTTTCCAGCAAAATTCATTAAATCATAGTTTTGTTGGCCACTCTACATGTCCACATAAGCACAGCTAAATCACCTATTAGAAGTTACATACACTTATTCTACTACATTCAAATGGAGTTTGGCTTAGACAAATGCAGAACACTTCACAAAGAAAAATGATTTTGTACTCTGAAATGGAAATATCATTGAATCCATGGGTGAGGGCCAAAGGCTACAGATATTTTGGAATCTAACAGACCAAACTCACAAAACACACAGATAAAACAATAGCAAAAGAATACAATGTTAGATGAAACTCTATACTAACAACAAAGATGAATGCAAAATGCATATTTAAAGCGATCAGCACATAGGTAATCTCAGTACAGATGCATTCATTTGGAGTTATGACATTGGACACACAGACAACTATAACAACTCCAACCCTCAATTGTCCATAGAAAGGCTGTCTTCCTAGTAAAGAGGGAAGACGAGGCTACACAGATTTTGTAAATCCTCACTATAAATACAGATATTGTAAGAATTTTTCTTCTAAAAACAAAAAACAGCATAATTTCACAAAGCTGTAATTTTTGCAAACAAAAACAGTATACCATTAAATTTTACAATGCTGATCTGGATTTTATATGAAATGCTCAGGCATCAGGCATTCCTGGATGCAGGAGCTCCAAGATAGGCATCCTAATGATCTTGGCTAGGATTATGTTGATAGAATTGCATCAAACTGCTGAGTAGCTAGAGATGCCTCTTTGGGGAGAATTTGTAATTGTTATACAAAACCAGATCATAAATACAAAATACTATAGAAAGCACATTTTAAAAGAGGAAGCTTACAGATGAAATTTGTAGGAAATGCCACATCATGCATAACTGAATTCTTTATATATTTATTTGTAATAATGATTATAAAATCTATTTATTTTATAGGAGAGAGGAGTTTATGGAACTTTCATTAATGTGGATGAATTCAGTTTGGAGTTATTTCCAGTAGATAGCGATGTCCTATCTATGGAAATAGGAACAACGTTTAAGGTATGATCTATTATATAAGCACATTAAAATTTACTTTAATATATTGGGAAATTTTTCATAATCTTAGTGTGATTTATTGTATTACATGCTAAATTTTGATAAATATGAATATAAAAAAAATGATTAAATTTTTTAGTCATAATCGTTCTAAACTAAAATGTCAACTAATGAATTCAGTAATAGTATTTATGTAAGGACGATTTTAGAAGATTTATAGTAAATTGAACATAAACATATTATATTATTATATTAAACGTATTATATTTATTATATTAATAAATTAAAAGTTTGAAACTAAACTTTATAATTGATTTGTTGTATGAAACTTTCATAATAAAGTTGTTAGTGTTATTTTTTTCAATTTAGTTTTTTCCCCAGAAAATATAATATACATCTTATTACAAGAATCTTTTCAACAGAAACTATCTTTGGATTTAATCAAAACAAACATCTTTGCAAGTAACTTCACTAGAAGTTTTCTCCATTTGTAAGGAAAAATATAAGAAAAATTTTATACACAGTATATTTTGGTGACTAAGACAACATTCAAATCCTAAAAAACAATTTCAAAACTAGAGTTTATCTTATAAACCAGATACTAAAATGATTACTTCAAAATTCTATATTCAAATGATTACTTCAGTTTAGATTTCAGATCATATCACAGATAAAAGAAACTGCATGTAAGTCGTAAGAGGTCTGTGCATGTCCAGTGATCACTTAGTGGCTGTGATGCCTTACACTACTTGATAATAGTGCATTATGCATTTTACTGTGTCAATCTGTTGATATACGAGTATTATCAAATTGATGATTGCTGTCTACTGACTAAAAGTTCATCACAAATGGTTTAATAATTTGAGGTTGCTTTATACAACAGATGTGAGCTAAAATCATGAAATTTATAATGAATTTGGTTCTCACTTTATTCAAAGGCTTCCTCATCCACTGATTTATATGATATTTTAATAATATCTATCCAATAAAAACAGAATGTAACTGACTTCACATCATTTTGTATGCAAATCAGGTTGAATAGAGAATATCCTTAAAAATTTATGTCATAATACTAACTTCTTGATGTTCTTTAATAACTAGTACTACTGACAATATTTTTTGTAAAACAAGTTCAAAGATAAGTCACTAATTTCTTATATTCATGGAACTGTATATATATAACTACAAGATATCAAAACAAGAAATAAAAATTTTATGAATAGATAGATATGATCAGTCTTCAGATCAATTCTAGAATGAAGTTATCATATTTACAAAATATTAAAATCAATTTAATATTTAATAATGAAATTAACTTCTAAGTGAAATAGTAATGCACTTGATTTTTAAATCAAGCTATATAATTTCATCAAATTGGTTAGAACAGCATAGTTTTGAGTATATCAGAATATTTGGAAAATGTCTCCAAGAACAAAGTGTGTTGATTAATTCTAGTTTTATCACAATATATACACTTCAGTTATCCTCAATTTTTAAGTTACTTAAGTGAGATATGATTTGATGTAACATTTTATTATTTCTTAAATTGATAATTTGTATATAATAACTTTTTTATATATCATTATAAAATACTTTAAAAAATAATTAAAATTAATATTTATTAAACTGATTTCAGGAATGCTACATTGAAGAAGATATGACAACAATGTATTATGTAGCCAAGTCTCTAATGAAATTACAAGCTTTATTTGGTGTAATTCCAAATATTTTTGGAAAGGGTAAATGTGCTAAGGTAAGACAGATTACTATTATCTTTAAAAATTGGTGTTCTATGATTTATTTTATTAATCTGTTAATTAAATTAAAGTTTGACTATCAATATGTGATTATGGAGAGCTTTTGTTCCACTTATTTAATGAGGAGAATTGCTTATATTAGATTTTTCTTTGTAGCAAATATCAAACTAGTATGTTTTATATTAAAACACATTAATGAGCATTTATATTTAATACAAGAAAATATGTCTAGCACTGTCTGGGCAAAGAGACAAACACTAAAATAGTCATATTTTTAATATTGTTTTTATTTTAATCTATTGTTATATTGATCATAAAGTGTCAAGGAGATGAAATAAGAGGGGAATTGGATGTCCATATTTTATGATAGCTTGTATTTTAAGCAGAATCCAATGGGAGAGTAAGTATGAAAAATTTAATTTAGGTCAATCAAAGAGTTTAGGAGTTAATAGAGAGATGAAATCAGGAAGTGGGTGACAAAGTTCTATGGTAGCCTGTATTTTCTAAAGAATCTTAAGAGTGTAACTATAAAATTTATGAAGATCATTCAAACAGTTTAAACAAGATATAAGGAACAGACTGTCATCCTGTTTAATAATGTTCATCTTTATAGTAATTTATATAGAGGGGGTTGCAAAAGTAGATAATACAGTTGTTATTATGAAAAAATAAAAACATACAGAAAGAAAACAGGAAGAAAAAATATTTATTTTTATGTACAAATTAAATCACAAATAAGTAATATGAACAAATAAAAGATAAAAATAATAGTAATGAACACCAAACATTTATATTTCTCAGATTTTCAACTGTATACCTACTTTTGCACCCCCTGTATATAAGTATTGAGAAAAATACAAAGGAAATATATAAGCTTATTGCTAGCAGAACTGTTGGTAAATTTGTTGTCATAACAAGTTAAAAAACTTCTAAAGATAATGTTTAGGGTAAAATCATGGTATTACTATAATCTTTTGAGATTATAGTCATACATTTTTGAAATTTTCTCTTTAACAATATCTCACTTAATATTTAGACATGGCTTTACAAAAAGAAGAAAAAAGAATAAAAACTAAGATTTATTGAGAACCATAATTCTGTTTGTCAAATTTTCAACAGAATAAATACAAGGATATATGCAGACTTGCATAATAGTTAATCAAATAGTTTTGATTTTGAATTTTTGGGGTGATATTTTAAAAGTTCTATCACATATAATCTAGTATTCTTATTAACAGTTAAGATGGACTTTTCAAACATTCTGCATGAATAACTTTTTTCCACTTATAAAATTAAGTTAAATTTTTTTCAGCATGTATTTGATTTGATGATGAGAATGAGACGGGAGCAAGCTGGGAATGAACCTCAAATCACTTCTCAAATTCATAATTTATTGTTGTTGGATAGATCTGTTGATTTGTTGTCACCTCTAGCAACCCAATTAACATACGAAGGTCTTTTGGATGAAATATTTGGAATACAAAATAGTAAGTAAAATTTATAATTTCATAATTTAAGTATTAGTTGTTTTGTCATTGTACCATTATGCATTTTCTTAATCTAGGATCAAAATGTTACGTAGATACCTTTTTTTTTTTTAAAAATACCAAATTGCATTTTTATGATTTGAACACACTCATTTTAACTTCCATTGCATATCATACATAAAATCTAGAGAGATAATCATTGTAATTATGATGATAATCTGACTGAATGGTGCAGGATTGCCAAAGACATTCATTGCAGTGTAAAGAATAGATCATTCACTAAGCTTACTGAAAATTGACATTACACTTAAATGACAGAAACAAATTACATTGAATAAATTGATTAAAAACACATTTGACATCATAAACATATTGCTCATTACATGTATCTCAACTCCAACTCAAAATGAACTTATTAATAGGAAACTTAAATTTTATCTTATGTATTGAACACTACAACATATTTTACAATATATTGATACATAGTGTATTAAAATTATGTATGAATGATAAGGATACCATTAAAGCATTGTAAACAAAATGTTTCAAATACAAGGGTGGTTCAACTTCTGTCCAGAATTTTGTTTATGGCAATAGAATTGTACATGTTGCATAGTCCCAATTTATGTTTTATTCTCTAGATTCTCCCTCTCCATATGCTGACATTTTGTCAATGATGCTGTCTGCAAAATAGTCTGTTGGCTGTTGTCAGAGTGAACCACTGCATGATGAACTCATTGAAGTCGGAGAGTTTGTCATGCTGAAGTCAGAGAGACTACAGTATTTGGATAAATTTCCTGTCTCCCAACGCTTCCTTTAAATGGCCAAATAGGTGATAATTACACAGTAGACTGATCTGGACTGTAGTCAGAGAGATGCAAAATTTTCCAACTAAGTCTAAAGATAGCTTCTATTATGTGCAGAGCTGTGCTCCAACTCCAGCCAAAAAACTTATTCTGCAGGTATAGCATCATTTTCAAAATGACAGAGTGTTGGCATATGGAGGGGAGTACGTAGAGAAAGAAACCTAAATTGGGATTACATAACACATATAGTTCCATTTTCATTACTGAAATTCCAGACAGAAATTAAACCACTTGAAAAGCAAACATTAACACTTAATTTACTATAGAAAGAATAATTCTCCCACTTGAGATTCTATGTAACTTCATGATTATATTCTAAAACAATGGTGCCCAAACTATGGCCCCCAGCCTGGAACACAGCATTAATTTGGTCTGTGAACATATTTGACACATCATTTTTAAATGATAGAATAGGTCTACCTTTACTACATATGGAGTGTTCAGAAAACCCCAGGAATTTTTCAGGAAGTGGTCCATCCAGATATGTTGGGTCCCATACCTCATCTCAACTTCTTCATTGTGGGTCTGGCCAAACCTACAATATGCTTCCTAAAAAATGCCCTCTTAGTGCCCACAGTGCAGAAAGAGTTAAAAAGAAAATATTAAAGATTATTTTGTAGATTACGGGGTAATCTTTGATATTTTCTTACAGTATAAATCCAAAAAATGTCCATTGAAAAGTTTATCATCACTCAATTTAGATTGTATTAACAAAGAACAATCAAATATTGACTTATTAAAGATTTGTTTTGGACAAACCTAAAGTTTATTCAAAAAGGGTTTTATGATTATCAACAAGATAAGCAAATACTAAAATCTATAGGAAATATGCCTATAATGCATCATGTATTAAACATTATACCAAGAATATGCAAATTGAAGTAAACTATTTGCATATCTGATTAAGTATGGTATTAAACAATGGCAAATTTTTAATGACATTCTTTATATTCTTTCATTTAAATGGAAGTTCTTTCATATGTTTCCTTTGGTATTCTCTTCAATAATTTTAAAAACTTTTTAAAAGATTAATTTACAATTAATCCTTGAAAAAAATCTTTAAAACTGCTTTTTTCAAAGTGAAAATTATTAAAGAGCAGTATCAAGATAATTTAACTGTAAATTATTTTATGGTGATTAATGTTTAAATTGGTTTTATTTAAATTTAATAGTTATTTTATTGAAAATGTTTCAGTTATTTAAGAATTTAAAAGTTTTATTTAAATATTTAATTATATTATCTTTAAAATATTCAGATACAATCAAAGTACCACCAGAAAAATTTGCTTCTTCAAGTGAGAAAGGCACGCAAGAAATTCCCACAGAAAGAAAACAGTTTCTGTTAAATTCTACAGAAGAGCTCTACGCTGAATTGCGAGATAAAAATTTTCATGCCGTTGGTCCGACACTTAGTAAAAAAGCCAAAATATTATCTTCTCAGTTTGATGTAAGTATTATAAACTTTTACTATTATTTTCAGCTGACATTCATGCCAGGTGCAAATGCAAATATTTAATGATTTTTAAATAATACCAACATAATAATTGAATAAGCATAGCAACAAAGTATTATATTCTTAGACAGTCAAGTGTATAAATTAAATAATAAAACAGAAATTAATGTAATTATAACTAAGGGTCGAATTTGTATGCATAATCATGTTTTTTTTTTTTTTTCTTAAATGCTATGATGTTGAAATGTCAATGTAAACACAATTTAAGTCCAAGTAGATCAAATTAAGGTTGTCCAATAATGCTTATTTTATTTTACCATATATTACTGCATTATTACTGCATATTTTGCAAATTTGACAATTTTCAGAAGTAAAGTGTTTTATAAATTACATAGTATGGTTGAAAAAGGCTTTTTTTTTCTTTTTAAATGAATGCTATAGTCCATTTCTGCTTCCTGTATAGTAAATTTTTTTTTGTGCATTTATAGTTAATGTGAAAAATAGCATTCTGCCATACAATTACAGATGAATGGTTTTAAAAATGTTTTAAATTTGAGCCATCTAACTCATATTCTATAAAGTTCTACAAACAAACACATTTTGTGTTGCCATGGTAATCGCTCATTCCTCATATTGTCAAAATCCTTTGAATTACTTGTATTAGAATTATTGTAAGTGTTTATATTGTTAATTTAATAATGTTAAAATTAAATATTTCAAAAAGTTGTGTAATGTTTAATTAAATATAGGGAGATAATTTTTTGGGAGTAAACTAGTCAAACTTTTATGTATGGAACATGTGCAGAAAATATTTTGTTACATTGAATTCAGTTCAACCAACAATATGGGTAAAACAACAAAAACTAATGCTGAATTTGTAAGAAAGTATGTACAGGAACTCATAAAACAGATGAAAAATTTTTTATTATAATGTATGCCACAAATCATTTCCTGCTAAGAAAAAAAGTCAGCTCTAGTTACACTAAAACTAATATTAGAAGAATTTGTGTTTTCAGACTCCAACTTTCAGAACTAAAGTGTTTTGTATAAAACACTTTAGTTCTAAAAGTTGGAAACAGAAATATTACTATCAACTTCAACACAAAATCTGTAGTTATTAAATAACTTACTAAGATTTCAATAAGGATTGATTATCTAATCAATCATTATTGAAATTTTATTGAACATGCACTTTTATTTGTAATTGATTTGATTGCACCCTGCCTATGTGAAACAATATACTAAAACATATTTTGTGGTTCATAATTTTCAAATCTCTTGCATTACCTATTGTTGCATGTTTAGCCCTCTCACCTAAAAAGTGTGATGTAATAGATACTAAGATTTACTTACAAACAGCATAAAATACTATGCATTTCAACTTACAAATTTAGTGTATATTAGAGAAACTTTTAATGTGCATAATGCATATTTCAGGAATTTTAATAGACATATATTAGTGTATATGTTGTGATTTTAAATGTATATAAATTCTGATCCTTAATTATAGTTGAAATTGTCCAAAAAATTCTGTCTTTAATTACAATTATAACATGTTAAATGAATGAGAAATAAAAATTGTGAAATCTGGCCCATTAGGTCACCAAACCTTGTTTTCATGTATTTTGGGTCTATGGGAAAATTTCTAGCATTTGCTGTAAGAGAAACTGTAATATTGTATATAAAAATCACTTTTATTAAAACTTTACTTAAACCTTTTCCACTATACAGTAAACTTTTGGACACCATTTATTATCATGTTATATTTTGAACATATCCCAATATATTTTGTAACTATTTTACCAATCTTTAATTATAGTCAAATTCTTTCCAACTGTTAGTTATTTGTAAACTTATAACAATCACCTGTCTGCAGGTAGAAATAGATGGCAATTCATATTGAGTTCCCATATGACTTTAGAAGTACAATTTGGTGTATGGCAGAAGCTCAATTTTTTGTTTGCACAAATATGTTGATAAATATTCATATCTTTTACACCTTGCTTAATTTTTACTACTAAAACTGTATAAATATACAAATTTAAGAGTGTTTGTTTTTGATCTAACATTTATTTAAATAATTGAGAAGTTATAATAATAATCTTTTTTTATGTTGAAAGCATTGTAAATGGCAGTGTTCAATATATTGGGCTGTAATTTGAAAAAATTGTAGACCTATAAATTCTCACTGTCTGTCAGTCTGTCCTTAATCTCAAGAACAGAGTTAGTTAGATAAAAGTTGAGACCAGATATGGAAACCTTAGGGACAGCACGCCCCGATTAACTATGTAAGAACTTCCAATGCAAACCAGAAATCACATTATCACAATTCAAAAATTTCCTCCTGAAAGGAATTAGCAATAGATTTGTGCCAGTCATTAATCTAATGGAAAAGTATGATTTGCAAGAACAAGACACTAATAATTTGAGGTGGAGAGCATATATTTTAAATTAAAAAATTATTAAAAATATGATTAAAAATTGTGGCCTGGCACAATAAATAATTGCTCGTTTATCTATAAATTTATCTGTAAAGAAACCAAACCAAGATCTGCATCAGATGAACTCGGATCAAGTGCCTATATGAACTGTATATAGTACATATAGGCACTTAATCTGAGTCAACACACACAATAGTTTTATAAAGGTGAACATCTGGTGAAAAATGCAAATATTTATTGCACAAAATTGTATAAGATTGTCTACGAAATAAAATATCTTCAAATTCACAATTATATTTATTAATTGTAATATTTCTTTTTACATTTTTATGGGTTAATTTGAAAATTCAATAGAAAATTGAATTTTGAAATTTTGAAAATTTGAGTTAATTTTTTAAAATTAACTCAAATTTTATGATGACTTTCTAAATGCAGTGTTTCTAAATCTATTAATATAACTTTACACATACACATACTCAAGCATGTAGTATTTGCACACACTAAATTTTATATATTTGTTGGGTGATATTGCAGTTATCAACCTGATATTTTATTAAAATTTCAAAGAAAAATAACTATTGCAATCAGAAAACAATTATGAGTTATATATCAAAGAAGCCACCACTTAAATTGTTTTTCCGTAATATAATTTTGTAAGTTAATACTTTAAAATATAAATTTTAATAATTTATATTTCTATAAATACATAATTTTTTTACAAATTTTATTCTTAATTATAGGAAAGGCGTGGTGTAAAAACCTTGGATGAAATCAAACAATTTGTTAATAAGTTACCTCACATGCAGGCAGCTAAAAAATCTCTTGCCACACGTAAGAATTTTAATAATATGAAATTGTTAAAGTAAAAATGTACTAAATTTTATTTCTCTTTCCTTTAAATTTTACTATAAGATTAATTTTGGCAAGTAAAATTTAAAGGAGAGGGAGGAGAAAAATAGTATTTCTATTGAAGATAATCAAATATGCTTAAGTACTGTATATAAAAGAAAGCTCAAACTGTTAAGAAAGACAAAATATAAGGATCTATTATGGGAATGGAAAACATATGGCATGTGTGCTCAAAGTAGCACATCAAGAGAAATTATCTGGCATGCAAAATATCATAAGATTTTGTTTATTTTTTTTACTGTTAAATTTCAATTTTTTATTATGGTCCTGTATTTAGTGACATTAGTCATCATCTTTTTATCAATCAGCTTCTTTACATTTATTCTAATTAAAGCATATTTGTGTAATTTCTTGTTATTTAAAGTTTAAAACTTTGGCATGCATAAACATTTTCAAGGATAACTATGGTTATCATATGACGTGGACTCAAAAAGTTCACCATCTATTAGGACATTTTCAGCCTACCATTTGACCAGTATTGGCTAACTTCATCCAACTTCTCACTTTAGTTGGATGTAGTGGGACAAAAACATTTGTAATAAATCCTTATTTTTGCTTTTCTTGACAATTTGTGTTTTTCTTTTTATTCAAATATAGTACCAAGTTTTATTCATTAGAGAATTAGAAAAAATGTGTTTTCATTTCAAATAATACAAAATCTAGGTTGCCATATAAAAATATGAGATTCTACATTTAAATTGAATATTTGAAGTTTTTGATCTTGTTGGAACCAAAATTTAAAGTTAGTGAACATTGTCAGATATAACAAAATTGACATTTTATAAATGTCAATATATATTGAAAGGTATTAGTTCTTGTTTTGTGGCATATTAAATAATAAATGAGTAATTATTTATTGTGACACTTTTTTAATGGTAATTAATCCTTTGATCAGTAAATGTGTAATACACATGGTGAGCCATACAGAGTAAGCATGTGTGTTCAAGTTTGTCTCATCATAGTATGCTCATATATTTACAGATAGCAACTGACATTTATTGACAGGTCTAGAAATATTTTTTCTATGTGGTTTTTTGTAAGTTTTGTGAAATTTAGTATAGAATTTTCTAGCATGAAGACAAACATGGTGTCTAATTGTCATTTATATTAGCTGTCTCCTGAATTGTTGGAATTAATCAATGTAATCAAATCAGAAGAAGAAAATATTGCCTAGTTTATTAAAAATATGAACTAGAAGATGAGATATTAATCTATTTTGTAAATGTTATATTTTTTTAAAAAACCACTCACTCTGGGAGGAGAGGGAACTAATAAACCCACTCATGAAAGGGTTAAAATATAGATTTAGTTATTTATAAAACAAGAATAGTAAACAAACAAATATTGTTTTTTTATTCCAAGGAAATGGATTCTGGTGAAAATGATAAATCAAATTCATGTGTGGCTTCATTCCTTGCCAACTGGTCGCCATCAGAAGCCTGGCCAAACCCATAATGAGCATATTTAAAAACTTCTCTTATTGGGGAGGAAAGAGTTAAAAACTAAAGAAAAAATATCCAAACTTTCTTTGATAAGTTAATCCATTACATCGATCTATAGTATGCAGGTGTATTATTTTTCATCAGTTTTTTATTAAAGGCCACACTGACATTTTTCAAGGTACTTGGGATCAGTGTCCTTGTTACTCATTGATCATTATGAGCTAATCTGGCTTGTGGTTCAGTTGGCCGGAAGGACAAGGAATAGGAAAGAGTCCTGATATGTAATATTTATAGAAAAGTTGATAATGTTGATGACTGGATAGCTATACAATGAGACATTCTGTTACTATACTGAATATTTTGGATTCAAGTGAAATACATTATTTTATATTAAGCAAAACTGGTTGTATATAATAAAAACTAATTTTTAAGTTATATCTTTCTTTGTAACATCACATGTTTGTACAAGTTCATGGTTCTTTCTGGAAGTTTTTGAATTTTAATTATGATAAAATATTTAAATATTGTTCTGTTCTGCATTCTATGTAAGACACTTGACATTGTATTTGAGTGTTTTAAATAAAACATTACATTATGATTTAACTAAGGTAGAATTCTAATTATCCTAGGTAACATGGATCGTCAGTATCTTGGATAACTGAAGACTTGAATAATATGTACAGCTATAACCATATTAAGATTAAAAATTACATTTTGTATCATATCACTTTTAAACTTCTTTTTATACAATACATAATTTAATCATGAATAAGAACAATAACTTTTACATCATCTATTATACAGCTAATACATATAGTTTTAAGAATAAAAATGTGTAATTATGGCAGTTATGTTTTAATATGAATGGTTTTAATCTTACATTGAAGTACATCAATGAAAAGTAACAAACAAATCATTTTATAATACATGTTATCATTTTAACTTTCTTTTATGAATTAAAGTGTAAGAAAAGTAGTGTCACTTACAGATTTACCTCGAATAATCAATGTTCTGCTGTATTGAAAATTGTCATAGTATTTTTTGCAATTAAGTTATTGTTAAACAACTTTATAATCATTATAAATATTTATATTAATTTAAAAAAAGAAAACATTTGACATTTATTCTAGTATTATTGTAATTTTCAAAATACATAAAGCTTTGTATTTTTTATTGCCAGATACTTCAATGGCTGAATTAATCAAAGAAGTAACAGATAAAGAAGAATTTTTGGAATCTTTACAAGTAGAACAAGGTATGATATTTCATATATTTTATACGTGTTTAGTAATTTTAATAATAAAATAAATAAGTTGGTAACCAACTTTTGGGAATCAAAATTTCAGTTTATTGAAGTACATCTAGATTTAATTCATTATTGTCAGAATTTGTGACTCAAAACAGTTACATTTAGTAAGCCAAATGACTCATTTTTATATAGAGTAAAATTTCTAAATTTATACTGCAGTTATTAAATGGAAATAATTAAAGTTTAAAATCAATTGTATGATGCCACATTTGGCCTTTGTGGAATCTATGACTTAGCATCTGTAAATGTCCCATATCAGCAGCTGTAGCCAAAATGTTAATAAACCCCAGATTTTGTGTAGCCACTCTTTCGTCTAGCCATATTTGTTTAGCACAATTTTGATTTCTTTGAATTCTTCAATTTCCTTCCATTGGCTTTTACTCTCCAGACAAATGAAATGGGATTTTCATAACTTGTCATTCAAATTGCTCAAAATGAGAACTGACATGTTCATCCATCAGACAGTCTTGTCCATTGCTGCAGTCAACATAGGTTTGTATTTCTTTTTTATCAGAAGTCAGACAAATGAAGTGAACTTTCCAACTTTTCTTGAACTTGCAAGAGAATATTTTAGCTCACTGTCATCTGTCGGCATAGGAAAATGATCTTTCTTGCCAGAAAATTTTGCAACTGACTACTACTGGCTACAAAGTTCTTCACAATTGAATCACAAATAGTTACACTATTGACTATTTCCCTGGAATTCATCATGATCATTTTCTACAAAACAGAAAGCTGTCTACTTTTCATCTCATCTAGCTAATCTTCTATTTTCTCCTCCATTTCTTCACTTGCAGGTTTTCTTCCACCTCCTTGGAGTCATCATCTTTTAGAATTATTGGATTTAACACTAGTTTGAAGCTTCTCTTTATCGTTATGCCATTTTCAAGTTATTTTAGGGTTGACTTCAAATTTTCTGGCAGCTTTTGCTTTTCCATTATTTATTGCAAAATCTACAGCTTCCAGTTTAAAACTTATTTTATAGCTATTCAATATGACCCATTTCACCTTCATGAATTAAAATAGCGGTATTCAACATTATTATCAAATGCTAAAACTACAGCAAATATCACTAATAAATATTGGTAGAAGAAAGTAATTTTTATACAAAATTGTATCCTTGATATATCATGCATTAAAAATGATGAGAATATGTTTCTAGAGAAAGTTTCCAGTACAATGTTATACTTTATCACAGTCTGAAATGAAACATGTTCAATATTGATGGTGTAAAAAAATCTCCAAAATTTTACAAACTTTTTATCTTAAATAAGTGCCTGGTGGTTATTCAAAACCCAGTGCTAATTCAAGGAAATACAGTATTTGTAAATTTTGTCATCGTTGTTGACAATTCAAAATATATATTATAGTTTTGTTATTTAAATTATATTAATAATTGATGATGATATGACATTACATTACAAATGAGAGCTCTGGCCAGACATGCCTGTTCCTGTCAGATAACCAAAGATAAGAAACATAGGGGACATAGTCTTGTAAATCACTTGGAGATTGCACAAAGTACAGGTTCTGCTGTTGCTTGGGAAGGTCCTGAGTCTGTATAAATAAAAAAGTGTAGTCAGAGAATAGAGGTTGATAATTCTATATTGTTACAGGAAAAATGAGGCCAAAGAAAAAGAAGATTAAATGTATTTGTAAAGAAAATATTGATATTAAATTATTTCTCTAAGCCAAAAAATTGCCAAATTAAATCAGATTATATTACTTCTATTAACAATATCCGGCAATCATTTAGTTTTAATATAACTTACAGAAGTTTATATTTATATATTTCTATAAGCCATATAGAGAATTTTAATCATTTAAACTTGAGATTTATCAATTTTCTAATGATTAAAAATATTTCAGAGTTTATGAATGGAATTGATACGGATAAAATTAATCCATACATCGAAGATTGCATTGGAAGACAGGAATCATTAATAAAGGTAAAAACAAAGGCAGTTCCAAATGTTTTTTCTGATTTTTACACTTGGAGATGGATTAGATTTTTAAAATCTCAAAACAGCTCGCTTTTAATTTGAAATTTACATTGCATTTTTAGTTTTTGCCATAAATTGATTTTGTGAATTGTATTGTCAATTCTAAATTAAATGTCAAAAGTTAAAGTTAGATATTTGTAAGGTATTTTTACTTAATATGAAATTATCTAAACAAGTTGAGTATCATTTGCCTAACTTTAATAATGTTGATAGCTCGAGATGATGATAAAATGCATCGACTGATGGTACAATTTGTTTCAAAGGACAAAGGTTAAAACAACATTGTATGATAAATTCCAGAACAAATGACCATTTTGCAAAGGATTTTGTGATTGTTTGATTTTTACTTCAACTTCATTATGTCTTCTGCCAGATTCTTTTTCTGTATATTTTCCAACTAGCTCGGTGCCATTTTTGTGTCCGCTTGATCTCCATTCATTCTTATTTTAATTGCAATTCCATCTTCTTTTGTCAACATGCATTTTCTGGAAACCAAGCTCTAATCTCCTCTCTTTTGAATCTCATTAACTAACATTTAGATTCTAATACCAGTTTGACAGAACCAAAAATGAAGTTTATTATTTGATTCTGAAATTGTTAATCTTTGCTTTAAAAAAATTTCCTAATTTATTTTTACAAGTAGATAATAAAATGTTTCATTAACAAGTTTTAATAAGCAAAATTTTAATTTTTTTTCTTTTAGATCTTGCGCTTAATCTGTATGCAGTCTGTTATAAATAATGGATTAAAACAAAAAGTTCTAGATTATTACAGAAGTGAAATATTACAAGTAATGTATTTGCTTTTAAAAATATATTAAGCACATAAAAAAAAATAATTCTTTCTCTCTTTTTCTGTTAGAGATTATTCCTCCATCTTATTTGTTTATTTTTACTGCAGACTTATGGATATCAAAACTTTTTAACGCTGGTCAACCTGGAGAAGGCCGGATTGCTGAAACCACAAGGCAGTAAAATTTATTCCACTCTTCGGAAGACATTACGTTTGACGGTAGAAGATGTAGATGAATTGGCAAGTTCATTTTTATTTCTTTTGATTATTGAGTTTTTTAAATCTTTCTTTCCATTATCAAAAATTTAAAAGTTTTGTTCTGTAGTAAACTTAATCTTAATTCTTTCTCAAACAAATGAGTGTATAACTAGATTAGAAAGAGATGTATAATCTTTATCTATTACTATCACTTACATTATAAAGCAGAGGTTATATTCTGCAGAATTTATGCAAATCTTCTATATATATAACCCATTCAACGGGTGTCCGTCTGTCCCGTAACCGTTTGATAACGGACACTAGAGGCACCCCTATCGTGTGTCATATTTCAAACATTCAAATTAACAATTTTAATTCTTATTTAAATTAACAATATGAATTATTATTATTCATTTGGCCCATAAATTATTATTTGGTCAATATAACAATATAAATAATTCAGTATATTTGTAATAGGAATTTATTATTTCAGGGGCTTATATCTTGCGAAGGGTCGTGAGTAGGGGTATGGTTCCTTTGACTTTATTGTTTGAAGGGGCTAGTTTGGGGGTTGCCACCTCTTCATTCGGAGGGCAAATCTTACTATTGGGACTTTAACAGAGCTGTACAGCATATTGATAGGAACAAAAAAGTCAAAGGAATCGTACCTCGTGGAAATTTGTAAAGAACGCCCACTAGGGGGCGTCACAGACTACTAGTATATCTATAGAATAAATGCTCTGCATAATGTAAAGAATTAAGAGAATTCTTACTCTACAGTTGCTCTTGACTAAAACTTGCACTCAGATGCCAAAATGGATGCTTTGCTTTTTCACACAACCGAACCATCCAAAAAAGAGTTATTTTTTGACTGATCTTTAATCCCATCATTTAAAACTTTTACCATTATGTCGGAAATCCAATAGCCAAAAATCTTCACAAATTTTATTCCACACAAGGAAGATGCTACTGCATTTTCGATCTCTGTTCTCTAATACAGTGGTCTCCAAAGTGGGGTATGCAAAGTGATACTTGGACTGTAAATTCCCCTTCAAAATACTGTATGTGTCCTGTCCACAATCTGTCTAATCTTACAGTCATCCTCCCAAAGAAGTGGGCTCACATTCACTTGTGATCATACGTGGAAAAATTGCGGATAGCAGGAAATTTAGTAAGAATTATGTATTTATAATGGAAATTTGGCAAATATTATTATATTATACAGTAATACCTCAGTTTTCGTTGACTTCGGTTATTGTCAATTTTTTTTTGTGAAAAATTTATCTCTGTTTTCATCAGTATGCCCAAGTGACCTCACTGCTAATTTTACGAAAACAAATGGTAACCCGTGCGTTTTCTGGCTCAGTGTGGTGTTATTTCTCATGTGAGCATTACCACATGACGGCCCACCAGTGGCCAACGCTTCCGTGCCCTGAACACAGAGTTCGGTCATGGTTTCACGCCTCACCGGGACGGGCTGGCCACGTAAAGTTTTCTGGGTTTTCTCTGTATCTGTATTGCTTGAATAGGGGCCAGTTACCCTTAAACAGACCTCCCGGAAGGCATTATTCCCTGCAATATGACCATCATAAACACATACAACTACGTCACACTTTACTATGGGGCATATAAAGCCCCATACCCACACTTTACTATAGGTTAGCTCATGTCCAACTAGCTCCTACAAGACAACACATTATCCTGCACGTCTAGCCAAACAATTCCATTGCTTTTAGTATTTAACACTATATTAATTCTCTATAAAATGTGTTTTTGGTGTGTATTTTGGAGTGTCTAGAACAGATTAATTGGATTTACATTGATTAATATGGAAATAATTGCCTCGGTTTTCATCAGTTTTGGATTTCACCAATTGTTTATGGTCGGATTATCGACGAAAACTGGGGTATCACTGTATTATATTATAGGAGGTACAACTTCTAATTATTTTCGTCTTAGGTGTACACAATCAAAAAAGTTTGGAGATCACTTCTCTAATATATGGTTGACTCATTTATGATGAAAAACTGAGCAACTAAGAGTGTAAATACTGATTCTTCTTCCACATGTTTGCAGGAAGCTAGCACTTAATTTTGTCTTTGATGAATGCTGCCTTTTTGATATTTTGCTATCAAAATCTGTTTAGACGGAATGTGTTGATTTGTAAGGATGAAAAACAAACTAACTAAAATATGCTTCCAAACCATGATGCTTGCATTTGAAATACATACAGTACTAATAACTTTTAATGTTTTTATCTTAAATACATTTATTGTTTCTCTTTGTCCATTGTTTTGTTATTATTTTACTCCTTTCCATATACAAAAGATTGGTAATAAATACAGAGCAATCTACCACATGCTTGATGAAATTAAAGTAAATTGCTTTATATTCATACAGAACATAAAACTTGGTAACTAGAGGAATCAAAATATTGCAATGAATATTATTTAATTTTTCTTGAATAATATGGATTAACTGTATCTGCAAAGTATAAACTTTCTTCTTTGATAAACAATAGCAGACACACACTAAGAAAACTCTCTATAGCTTATTTTATGCCTCATTTCACAAATTTTGACCGGGCTGTAAAAATGTGCAGTATAGAGGACTAGAGTATTTACTTAGTGACAGGAACAGATTGACGAATCTCTGACAGGGTCACTGTGCATTACCAAAAATGGGGTCTCAAACTTTGTTAAACTTCTAGAGCACCAACAGAGTACCATGCATTGGCAGGACAATGCATGGTACTCTGTTGGAGCTCTACAATATAAGAAACACTCATATACCACAAAATGAAAACAGGTACAAAGTATTTGTTGTTGGCTTTGATCAAGATTATCTGGATTAAAATGTTCTGATGTTATTTTAGTTCCTTAGATATCAAAACAAAGTTGCAACACAAAAAAAAGTTTTGATGGATTTGGAAATTTTTACTTATCAGTATATCAGAAACAATATTTACTCTAAAGTCTAAGGTACTTTTAGACCACAAGTCAAATGAAACTTTGCCACAAAATATATCTATTGTATTCTTATGTTTTCATATAAATAATTTGACTGTTAGCAAAATATTTTTGTAACACAGATTCATCATTTAATAAAAAATAATAATCCAGAACATTAAAAGTTCATTAAAATCATAAATGTAGACAATCCAAAATGGCATCTTTACTTGTCCTTCGTTACACCAGGAACTCTTCTAAAACTCACTAAGGTTCACCCTTTTATTATAGGCTGTGACATTAGTATTGAATAAATTATTCAATTCAAGTTTATTAACGTAATTCAAGTTTAGTATTGAATAAATTATGTAAAAAACAAAATGTTCACTGGTAATTGAATAATATCATAAAATAAATGATGTCCTTTTTCACATCAGGATAAGTGAAGGTGCTGGTTTGGATAATCTATGTTTATGATTTTAATGAACATTCATCAGTTCAAAATCTGTATTTACAAATCCTTGTTTTGCTTTCGTTAATGTTATCGTGCATCCTTTCTTGTTTCTTGATAGGACATAATCACAAAGAATTTTCTGTTTATAGATGTATTCTGATAATTTCATAAGTGTTTGCTTTGTTTGTTAGCCTAGTATATTTCAAAGATATTTTCTTCAAGCATATGGTAGATTCTTCAATATTAATTATACATTAGAACAAAATTTGAGATATGTTTGTATTTTGTATGTGGTTTATTGGTTGTTCCCAACAGTAGCAATCTTTTGTTTTAACTCTTCCAAATTTTTTTTGTTATATTAGTGATGCTCTGTCATAGCCTTTGTCTAAAGGCTGGTTCATGCTATATGTATTCATCTAGCATAGTTTATTGCCATACATTACAGTTGTTGCAACACATGTTTATGCAAAAGAAACTTCTTTTTTATTGCGCAAAAGTATCATTTTGATACTAATTTTTTTTTCTTGCAGAAATGTCTTCTGTAGTCCTGTAATGTTACATTGCCAAATTTAGTTTCATTTATACTGCTAAATATCTCTCCAGACAGTGTTGAATAAGGGTACTTTGTCACCTGGTATTTCTGAAAAATTTACCTTAATATAGTATGAAAACTCTAAGAGAGACAGAAGTTAAGTGCCATCTGTTGGGAAGTATAATAAACTATGGAGTATTTTTGGCAAATTAGATATGGTTAAAAAATTCATTTAGCCAAGCCCAAATTTGGGGGTTTGTCTTTTTTTATCTTTTACCTAAGAAGTCATGGGAGTAGCAATTTTATGCATTTCTGGAATGTGTAAAATTCAAAATTAAAGTATTTCTGGGGCATAGCTGGTCTTTAGTTGTATGGATCTTTTTTACACTTGTACTATGGAGAATATAATCCCTGCATAAATCACACCCTCACTATAGTTTTGGGAATTTTGTGTCATAACAGGTGTTTATTGGAAAAGTATGCTTATTTTTCTCTAATTTGTAAGTATTTACAAAGAGAATCTGCCCCAAAACACATTCTTTTTATATACATATATTCCATATATAACACAGTAATTAGATTTCAAAAAGAGTGTCATGTTATGTGAATCCATGCTATACAAAACACAGTATACGTTTGCTAACTTTTAAAACCTAACATATTCTTTTTTGTAATTAAGAGAAATACAATATTTTTGATTGCTTTAATAAATGTGTGTGAATATTAATTTTCTTCTTCACTGCTAAACACTGTTAACAAGGTTATCATCATCTGAAGTATCAGCAACATGTTGACTTTTCTCTACTTTTTTTTTCATTTGCTTGCATTTACCTAAGAGATCTTTTAATCTATAAAAACAAAACACAGCAACAGACTTTCAGATTCATTTAGAACACTATCACCAATCACAGCAACATCTGGTTTATAGGAAAGCTTGAATAGAAAACTAATGATTTAATGATATTGTACAATCAGTTCTTATTAAATAAAACCTGGTGAAAAGCACAAAACAAGATTGAAATTTTCGATGTTCTAGAATCCATGGGTAAATATGAGACAACATGCATGCTTGATTGAATAAAAAAAATATTGAATAACAATGTTTGCACTTAAAAATTGTGACATTTTGTAACTCTCCAATGTCTCCAATTCTCGAATCATGATAAGAGTGGAACTGTGTTGTTCTTTTATTTATAGAATCATATTTTGAAAAACCCCAAAAACTTATCAAATTTGTTGGCAACTGCAAGCTTGTACTGTGTATTGCAATTTTTGAATTGGTTTCCTAAATTTTGGCAGTTCCTAAAATATGAACAAGTGTGTATTTTTGTGTAAAATTAATCAATTTTTACTTTATTTTAGAATCCAACCGATGTTGCATATGTCCACAGTGGTTATGCACCTCTCAGTGTGCGTCTGGCACAATTTTTGGCCATGCCTGGTTGGCGAGCCATCCAGGATATCCTGAACCAGTTGCCTGGTCCAACGGTGGAAGCAGTGCAGAACATCACGGGACATCGTAAAAGAAGTACTACTATTATATATTCATGTTTATAGTGTATTTCTAACTTCAGAGCTGTTTGTAATCGAGGAATCTCTAATGTGATTTAGGGGGTTCGGGTTCATCTATTCAGTCAAGTGCCGAAGAAAAGAAGGTGACTCTGGTGTTCTTCCTAGGAGGTTGCACGTTTGCGGAAATCTCTGCCCTGCGATTCCTTTCAGAACAAGATGATGGTGAGTTATTCTTCCAGAACATGATAATTAATAATATATTTGTACTAATAGTAAGGTAAGGTTAAACACTCATATTATATATTGAAAAATAACAAGATGGAATATGTGAATTTTTTGTTCAATATATCCCATTTGCAACAATTCAAATATTAGAACAATGTAGCTTTTTTCATTCAACTTCAACTTTTTTATTTTTTACATGGAATCCATGTGATGTTTCATGGTGAAATTTTGGCACTAAATCCATTTTCAATTGAAACACACAAACTGGCCTTGGCCTGACTTCCACACAGTAAATATTAGTCTGTGTGCACTGGTGTAGAATTCCATGCAAAAATATCTGTCAGTGCATTCCAGCCTAGGAGGGCCTTTTTCCAAGCTCCCAATGGCACAGGCTACTCACAAAACATTCCCAGGGTTTTATCAATAATGATTTATCACTTCTTCCATATTCTAACCAAGTCTAGTTCATAATTAAAAGTGGATAAAATGTTTGGACAATTATTTCAATCATTTGGCCAATTTGTTCCTGGCATTAGACCCAAACCAAATAAGGGTTTTGTGTAACCCATCTCTGATCTACAAATTACTTTCAGTCATACCTTGGTACCTGTCACAATCAAAATATCAGAAGCAAAGAATCTTACCATTATGATGTGAATTTATTCAATATGCATAACAAAAAATGGGAAGCAGGAAGCATGTTTTCATTTGTTTCACTGGATTGCAGTAGAAGTTGGACAAGAGGAAAAAAACAAAAAATTTTATGGCTCTTCAAAAAATTAATGAATTACTTGTTTTAATTAACAAATTAAAAACCACCAGCTGTCTGGTTTCCAAGACTCACAAAATTAATCTTAACGAAGCTGTAACATGTTTTCATTTAAATCTGATGGGACAAATGCCAAGATACATTTCAATAAATGTTAACCAATAGATTAATATTGAACATTTTTGGCCACATTCTTAAGTCAAATATCTTATCACATTTATCATACACTAGAAATTCCCCTGTCAAACTTGACAGAATACTTTATACTTTCATAAAAAGTATTTAATTTGTAGAAATATTAGCAATATGTCTTGAATTCTACTATCTGTTGTAACATAAAGAACAACAAAATTATTTTGCTCGAGTCGGACTTCACAGGTCTCAGTTTTTATTCTTTTACATCTAGAATTTCTCTCTCTCTTCGGCACTCATAGTTCCTGAAGGACCTTCGCCTCATCCAGGATTTTCACCCACTCCTTTTCTGGGCTTTACTTTTCCAACAACTCACACCCATCTTTCTCAAATCATCCTCCACATCCTCTTCCCATCTCTTTCTTGGTCTCCCTTTCAGTCTTATTCCCTCTGGCCTTTCTCTGTACATCTGATACACTTTTCTCTCAGGTTCCATCCGTTCTAAATGCCTAATCCAACGAAATCTCTCTCTTTTAATTTCTGTTACAATATCAGGATTTTCATATAAATCTTTGAGTTATATGAAAATTCTCCACTCCCCTCTATCCTGCATTGGTCCATATATTCTTCTCAGAATTTTCCTTTCAAATCTTGTCAACTGTTTATGTTTTCTTGTCAGTGTCCAAGTTTCGGAACCATACATGATTACAGGTCTTATAATAGTTTTATATATTCTAATCTTACTGCATCTTGATATTTCTTTACATGTTATAATTCTTCTTAACATATAATAGCTTTTATTTCCCGCTGTCATTCTTGCCTTCATTCTTTTCCATTAACTTTGCTCCTAAGTATTGAAATTTATTTACTTTTTCGAATTTATGGTCATTTATATGTAGAATTTGTCCCTTTGACCACTGGTATTCTTTCCTTGTTAACTTCATATATTTTGTTTTTTCATTGTTAACTGCTAAGCCTTTACCTATAGCTGCATCATCCATTATTTTAAATGTCTCCTCAATTACTTCTTTAGATCTAAGCAATGTAAATGTTTATCTAGAATTTACCTGACCAATTTTACTCTTATGCTTTCCCTAAGTCTATTTTATCAATGTGGAGTTAAAAAAAAAGATTAATTGTATGAAGTACATTAGTTAGCTCAGCTCGTTAGCTTTTTACTTCCAGTTGGATAATAGAACATCATGTGGTCACTATGGAAAGATTTTTTTTTTAAAGTTGGGTATTTTTAAATATTTTGGCAAATGAAGGGGAAATTCTGTCATCAAGTGGTCACTGACCCAATCGATAAAACGTTTATTCTATAGCTAATAACAAATGTCTGGATTGGACAAAAATTGCAAATTGCAGGAGTTATAAAGAATTCACACACACACACACACACACAAGGGCTTTCAGTATGGTGTTAAATAAGATCATAATAAGATCATATATTCTGTATTATTAATTAAAATTAATCTGAGGATATTGTATTAAAAGGTTTTAAATCTTAAAATAAAACTTAAAACTGTAATTGACAAATATAATAAATAAATGGATTTTAATTAAACATCATAAAAATAAGTTTAACATCTTAAAGTGTAACTGACTGACAATGGCCCAATTGCAGATATATTTAGAGATCATCTAGACCACAGTTCGGAAAAATTACATTGCAGAGATGGCAATTCTTGCTTTCCAGGGTTTGGACAGCAAGAAACCAGTAATTTTGACCTACTTTCTAGACTCACTCAAAAGCAGATTTAGTCAGCATTTTAATTTTTGTGGAAGTTTTGTTCATGGAAAAGTTTAAAAGAACAATATCCATTTTTATCTAAACAGTTTTAAATCTTACTTCAGTATATGTGCAATAATTATGTTATAAACATCGATAATAAGTATAAATTTGTTCAATTAATATTTATGTAAAGCGTGAAATAATGACTTAACCAGACAACTGATTATTATTATTATTAAAAGATATGTTTTTACATATCTTTTAATAATACAAAGTCATGTTTGGGATAGAAGGGTCATTATTTCTCATGAGAAAAAATTTAAAACATTTTTAGATTAATATGTAAATGCAAATATATTCCATTGTATCAGTCTCAAAAATATAGTCCACTCAATTGGAAACTGTGTTGTGTGTATAGAAATTAAGAAAAATAAAGGCAGGGTAAAACCTATATTTAACAAATAATTTTTGCTGCAAGTTTCTCTTTAGACAACATTATTGAAAAATATTTCCATTTTTCTGATAAGTTTTGTTATAAATTGCCTTAAAGCATATGTAATATTCATGGTCTACTGTTTGTATATTAAAATAAAAATACATTATAATTCTGAGAAAGAGGAAAAAACTTGAATATGAAGTTTTATTTAATAATATAGTAAACAAATATGCAATACATTTTATCAAAAATTTGAAAATATGCAATATACCTCATATGCTTCCATCTGAAATAAAATTTACATATCAATTAATAAATAAACTATAAAGCCAAGAAAAAAAATTAGCTTGTTTTTTTTTCAGTTCCTGTAGAATACATCGTTGCAACTACAAAACTTGTCAATGGGAGTACATTTCTTGAAAGCCTAGCTGAAAAAGTAATGTCTTCAACGTGACGGACTGCTATGTAAATTAAAATGAACCTGTTGTAACATTCATAGTCTCAAAGGTTAAGATAAAATCCTATAGAAAATTTTTAAATTGTATATTGTAAAAATAAACATGATTTATTTTGTATAAAATTAATACAAAGCAATTTTTGAGTTTAAGCAATTTTTATTAATAATAAATTATGTATATTATATAATTTGATTATCTTAATGTGACTTATCTTGTGAAATAGAACTATGTGTAATGTTAAAGAAAGATATACATTAAAATATCGATGAAACATCCATACGAACTCCAAGCAATAAGATGCACACATGTTTTCTCTCATAAGCACTTGCTCTATGTAAGTTTTTTTTTAATATTTGTTTTGGGATAGATCACAAATCCATGTCGTCATCAGTTGCATCAAATGGATCAGGAAATGGAGAAATGGGAATTGCCGGCTTCATTTCTGGAGAATTACAACTGGAGAAAAAAAAATACAGCATTATTATTTTACTCCTCACATTAACTAAACATCAAACATAAATAATCCAGATTCAAAATATCTGATAATGATATTTCTGTGTTCATGTTGAATATGAACATTTTCATAGTACTACAGCTTGACTAATGGTTTGATTTTAAAATCATACCAATTAGAATGGTGGTGACTACACAACAGTAAGGGATATTTGCTGTCATTATACACAAAAAATTTTTATAAAATGACGACATACATAATTATATAAGATTACCCTTATCAAATAAATTTCCACATAGTTCTACAAGGTTACTGCCACAATTGATATTATTTCTCAGAACACAACTCTCCAGAACAAAAAGGGATAAAAATAACTCTTGTTGGTACAAGAGTTATTTTTATCCCTTTTATCATTAATTTCAGTTAGATTTAAATTGATGATTTTTAAAATAATTATCTTTATTCTTTCTGCACAGAACTAGAAATCTCAAAATTGAACTAAAATTCAATAAATTTGTTTATAAAGCTGACCTCTTGCTGCTACCAATTGAACAACCTGTGAGAACTGACACACTACTTTCAGTGGGGTGTAGAAAATGTAGCTTGTCATTTTTTCTTTTTTATAGCAAGTGTAGCAAAATTAAGAAAAAGTATGAGTTTTTGAACAGTGAATTAAGCATATATAACATACATTTTTGACTGGATGATACAGTTGATCAAATTCTACAGCTTTGTATGGGAATGACCTTATGCCCTTTTGTATAACTTTCACAAAAGTTTGGCAGTAAAATATTACTTGTAGTGTATGAATTAATCCATCTTACCTTTTTGTTCCATTTCCATTACAATGAGTTTACAAGTCATTTCAGCTACATGTCACCAAACTAAGGCTCTGTGATATTTAAAAAGTATATGCTGGTGACTCAAGGAATGTTTCAGATCCTTTTAAATTCATATAACATGTACCCTCATATACTAACATTCATTCTTGCTACTGTAAATCACTGCAGTACATTTCAAACAAATGTTGGTCAGACTGTTCTGTTCTGTCTTGAAACAAACATAAGTATAAATTCTATTATATTTTTTTACCTATATTAAATTTGAAATTTAGTTAATTAATAAAAGTATGAGTTTAGCCTAAAGTAATTACACCATTTAAAAATTTATTTAACAACATGGTTACACCATGTTCTTAAATAAATTTTAATTTCTATTATAATCTTTTTACAATTACTCAAAATTAAAGATTGACAAGCCCTCAATGGAACTAGAACTCATGCTTTGGATCAGGGGTCAGCAACCTATGGCACACAGGATGTATTTCAGTGTTATTCTAATTGAATAGAAATGTAGTAAAAATTATGTTTTAATTATTGGCTTCCATTTAAATGTGTAATTATAGTTCAGTGTAGGTTGTGGTATATTTATATTACAGTGCGTATGTTTACGCTTATTGTCACCATCATGTGCATGCATTTCACATGTAAAAACATAATTCAATTATATAATTTTGAGGTTAAGTTGCTATTTTTGAAGTCCATTATAACCAGACCAATTTTGATAATATATATAACAAAATTAGTAGAATCATGTCAGTATCCAGAATGACACAACACTGCCAAAAGGTTGTTGACCCCTGCTCTGCGTTAACAACATATCTTGAAAAATAATCACACTTGAACGGTTCAAGCATAAGTTATGCTAATGATTACATTATATCTTCTATGAATATATTTTTAAATGTGTGTCAGTTCTTTAATTTCTAAGGCACACAATCTAGAAAGTGCCAAATCACTGAAATCTGTCATGGATAATAGTGTTGGTTGAAAGTTGTAAAAGTATTATATCTATTCTTGGCCATCAGAAGTAATACTTATTATGTTATCTAGCTGGTTCCAAAGAGGTTTTATTTTTATTCTTTCTATACTGAGGGAGCTAAAAGAGCCTTTTAATGGTGCATTCAGGATGGCAAACTACTTTGAGTGCTCAGTGCATCTCCAGATTTTCATATCAAGCTGAATGGCAACATGGCAGAAAACCAGTTGTTTATTAAATCCATTGTTATTTCAGCAGTTTTAATTTAGCTATTTTGTTAACAATCTAATAGATGAGGAGAAAAAAATATCAGGAGAACACAAATTTATTAGTACTACTTTTTAAAAACAGGAGTAGGAAAGGAATTATCCTCCAAGTTACTCAGGAGAAACTATTCTGATATGAACGATTCCTATTTTTGATTGTCAGAAAATGAAACATTCAAGTAATTTCTAAAACAAAAATTTGAGGACGTTTATCTAAGACAGCAAGGGATAAATTTTTATTTTCAAATAGTCAAATATTTATTTTATACTCATTCATATCATGTATGTTTAGTTTTTTAATGCAATATTGATCCATAAACTTTAAAAATATATTACATTTTAAATTTATTATATTATTATAAGTTTATTTATCTCAGGATCTATATCACTTGGAAACATAATTTCCACTGTGCAGATTTTGTTTCTGACTGATGCCATTTTTCAAACTAATATCACATTGACTTGCACTAACTCTCCATTTTGTGTTTTCTGAAGTGACATTAGGATGTACAGTACAGAGGTAACAACTTGTTTAGCTTTCTCAATTTGAATGATTTGTTGCACACTAGTAAACCCTAGTGTCTCAACATAAATGTACTTTAAATCATATCATCATTAGATTCAGCCAGATATGTAATAGGGACTAGCCAGATGGTATGAGGGATGGTAACCTGACCTGAACTTGAATTAAAGTTTTTCAAGAACAGAAGGCTGACGCCTTTATTATAAGATCACCTCAAAAACATTATTAACAGTAACTAGTAGAGCTATGTGGCTCTGCCCAAGCTAAAGTAAATAAAGCTTTTAATATGGTTTTAATTTTAACATTTGTTATCAATCATTGCCTGAGCAAAAGATGATAATATCCCTGTTATATAAATATGAGTAGATTCATATTGTCTCAATACAAAATTCATTCATAATAAAAATTATAAAGATAATACCTTGTTTTATTTGTATTCACACAATTTCTGTCAACAGTTCCTTCATTATTATTATTTTCAGGAAAATTTGATGCAGTTATTCTTTCTTCTGAATTAAATGTACTTTTTATTTTCTGAGGTAATATTCCTCCTGGTGGTTGCCACAGAACTACTGCCATGGAAGGTTCTTTCCTAATATAAAAAAGTTAGTTTTTGAGATTTTTACATTATGTAAGAAATTAAAATTTTTATTTTAAATTACAAGACTATCTTTAGAAAAATTTTTTGAAGGTAAAGCCCATCATCTGAGATATGTTTTCAGAAACATCAATAAAACAAGTTCAGCCATTGATGTGATGAAACCAAAAATATTTAGTTACAAGCAAGTTGACCACAATAACATATACACCATAAAACAATAATTTTGAGGTACACATACAAAACCACTGCTACCTTTATTTCAAATAATTCCACATTCAATCAGAACATTGGGTTACTGTACCCAATCTGCAATTTAGCACACCTTGGTGTCTGTGTCCATCCCACAAGACTACAAAATTTCTTCAATCAGAACTGTTCTATTCCAATATTGAAACCAATAATGCAACTCTAAATATTCAATTCAAGCAGTCTCGAAAACCAAGAATTTCTTTTTCAGATTTTCCTTGTAATTTTTTTAATCATTTTCTCCCATTTCTCACTTTATGCTCCAAAATTTCTGTTTTATTCTTATAAAACTTAAATATTTACTCTGAATTCTATAGGATCATTCCTCAATCCTAACAATTTGATACTGAGCAGGAAGCAATTTTTAAAATTAAATGATTTGTTCATTCACTTGCTCAAGCATCAAGAGTTTACTTTTTTGATAATTAAATAGTAAAATATGTTACCAAATAAATATGCATGTACTCTGATTTTTTTTAATTAAATGTTAGAATTTAGAACTGAAATTAAATAATTTTTTATGTAACATATTGAATAATGAATCAACATAGTGGAGCATAGAAAAGAAACATGACTACACTTTCAAACTGCTTACATTAAAAAAGATTGTTTCATTTTATTTAATAGCATCAAATTTCTATATCTACTATATGAAAATAAAAAAGTAAGCATCACAAATTGAATGTTTTAAAAAACCAAAACATAATAAATGCATAATTAGAATAACTATACATACAAAAAATTGTTCTAAAAATAAATTGATATTCAATAGTAGTACAGTGGAACCTCGGTATACGTCTTGCTTTAGAATACGTCCAATTCAGAATACGTCCTGTTTGGACGAAACAAATTTTGCTCGGTATACGACTTAATTCAATTATACGCGCCATCTATCAACAAGTAGCACTATCGGTATACTACACTATACTAGACGTTCGCGGTGCTACGGTTTATAACTTTTTAAAATTTCTTCTGATTTTAATTTGTAAGTAACATTTTATTATTTTTATTAATCATGAATTGCAAAAGGGCAACAGAAAAAAAATGACTAGAATCACAATGGAACTGAAAAAACAGATTGTTGAGAAATATGAAGGTGGCACGCGTGTTCGAGATTTAACAAGATTTAACTGTTGCATTCCGTATTCCGATAACGACGATATCGACAATCGTGAAAAATAAAGACATTATTAAATTTGCTAACGTTGAAAAATAAAGACATTATTAAATTTGCTAACGTTGCGAAAGGGGTTAAATCAAAATCTAAACAGAGATCGAAGATATTAGATCGTGTCGAGAAATTGCTTTTGCTTTGGATAACTGAAAAACAGTGTGCTGGCGACAGCGTATCGGAAGAAATTATTTGCGAGAAAGTTAAAAGGATACACACTGATCTCATGAAAAATCAAGCAGAAACTAGCGAGGAAAGCAAGGTGTTTAAAGCCAGCCATTTTTTTTACATGAGAACGGATTAGTCATTTTTACATTACTTCTTATGGAAAAGGTTGGTTTGGTATACGTCCTATTCGGTATAAGTCCAAACACCAGGAACGGATTAAGGTCATATACCGAGGTTCCACTGTAATTATATTTTAAATAGTAGTATGGAATTAATAGACTAAGGATTAATACTACAGGAAACTCGACCCTTATGACAGCGCATTAAATTGGTATGATCATAAGTTCATCTGTTGATTCATGCTATCATTGATTTTGATTTATTCAATGTCATATCCTTTAATTAACAGTAGAAGGAATCAATAGCAACTCTCAGATTCACAAGTTCAATCATGGGATGAGAGTGCACAACTAATTGGAAGAGCTATTTATATAGTTTGATGTTTACTCCATAGTTTTAACACAAGGATCTCATAATTTTTGATAATAAAATTGTTACATTGGGATTTTGAATCCCAACATAACAATTAAATAACTTTCACTTCAACAGCAAGTTATTTAATTTTTACAATAATGATAATATTGTATAATAATAATTATCTTTTTGAACTATTGGAATCTAAAATACTCAGAAAATTTTTTCAATAGATTCAACAGAAGAAATAATCTACAAAAAGAAAAATCACTTAGTATATTCTTGTTGGCAATATATTCATTTTTATCAGATCCTTTTTTGCTTATTAATTATTTGTCAACATGCAGAAATATAGTGAAAGTTAAAAATAAAATCTAAGAATAAATAGTTACTAGATGAATATATCAAATACTCATTGGCTGTTTAGAACAATATCATAATTGCTTAATAAAAAGATCACTTTGTCTTTAATGTTGGTTATAGAAAGCTGATTTCATGTCAAAAGTAATGGCATTGACTAGTTTGTACTCAGCTTTACATTTTCATCTGCATGACCATTTTTCAATGATTCTTGCCATCTTCTTTATCTCCAAGTAATTTTAATTTCAGTTTTTGATAGTCTAGTCTCTAAAATCACACTATTGTCAATGGCTGCACACTTTAGAGGTATGAAGGAGTACATGTCAGGAGTTCAATTTGGCACAGAGTATTTGGTGCCCAAATCATACGCACATAAAATAAACCAGACTTGTAGGTAGTCAGGGGATCAAGAACCAGGTCAAAAGAAAATATGAAATGTTGAGACTGTTTCTACAAACAGACATGACTGTGAGATTTGCACATGTATTGCCATTTTACTTGTTTATTTATATTATATAAAAAATAAATGTCTTACAAAAACATGGTAAGATTGTCCCCTAATTAATAAATAATTCCTTTAAAACAAATGAAAATAATATATACAATACAAAAACTACAAATTATATAATAATAATAAATATAAAAATTAAAAAATGAACCAAAACACACTAAAATAATGTATATAACGGTACATATTAAAATGCATCATAAATAAGTTCTTATAACAAAATCATAAGAAGAAATCTTCACACCTGAAGAGAGAGCATTCATTATGGTGTTTAAAAAGAAATATAGAAAAAAGAAAAAGAAAGGCAGAAATAAGGGTAGGAAATGCATGAAGTACAAAGCTAAATAAATTATTAAAACATTTAAAAAACAAAATATAGTTAACGTAATTAATGTGTGTTGATATAAATTTGGAAATACAAGTAAAATTTCACCAGAGTTAATAACAAAAAAATGATATGGCTTATTAAAAATAAAACACAGTATAATCTTGTTTTACACAAGAAATTTCATTTCATGTTAGATGTACATCATATAAACCAAAATTCTGTGTAAATTTGTGCTGCACCCATCACAACCATGTGCATAAATTTTAAAGAGATGTTTTTGTCAATGGCCTGGCAAAAGTTGATTGACAGCACATTCTAGCCGTTCGTATTTGGGCAGGCCGACTGTTGCGCATGTGCAACATAAATTTTTTATAAATTTCAGGATTGAATTCTTAGTTAAACAGCATTTGTTAATCAAATTTCTGTCTAAAAACCGTTAAAACCTGATGCAGAGCCCAGAAGGGGTTCGAAAATGTTCATTTTTTTCAATGTTTTTCGATGTTACCACACTGTAAATTGGTTCAGTGTGTGTAATTTTTAAGTTTGTGTGATGTGGTGAGTAGTTGTTTGATCAATGTTAACTCAAAAAGTAATAATTTTGAATGGCAGTAACATAGGTATGTGTTGATAGTGTAATAATGTTGATTTTCATTTTTATGTATATTAGAAAGCCATTTACATAAATTAATTTATTAATAAATACTGAATAATCTCTTAATATTAACGACTACTATTGTTTTAAATCTTTTACAATATGAATTATCTCAGCTATGTAGGCAAAAAAAATTTACATACAGTTCTTTCAAAGGACTTCCTGCTAAAAACAGATCAGACTGCACTAATTTTTTCAATTCAGGTGATAAAGTTATTCCTCCTGTTTCTGGATCTGATTCTTCACTTGATTCATCGGATAACCTGTTTAAAAAAATTATAAAATTATAATCTTTAAGACATATCTAGAAGAATGTTATTATAATAATAACTCTCCCATGGTCATCACCTGGTCATGGTGGGAGAGTGTAGTAATTTTACTGCTCCATAGGGCAATGGAGGCTGGAGCACAAGCTCCTGGTAGAGACACCCATGCCAGTAAGGTCTATGGGGAGAAATGAAGCTAAGAGTGACCACACTAGAGTTTCTCATTTCCCAAAAAATTTGCCTCCAGCAGGATTACAGGCAAAATAATTTCTTTTCCCGGGATGAGATAGTAAAATAGAATTTTATATGAATAAAAAAAATCATACAGGAATGTCATAAATTTAAATAATTTAATTTATTTTCTAGTAAGTAACTAAAAGTGTAGGGCCAATCTCACCCATATGGACAAGTTAGGCTCAATTAATTTATGTTCTCCTACATTATAAGATGAAAGTAAAATAAAGCGTTTCATTGGGAGTTTTAATGATTACGAAAAAATACTGTTTTACTTCTAAAGATGAAATAAAAAATAAACTAAAGTGCGATGAGTGATATTTACTTTCAGCAAGTCTCCACTGTTCAATGATGTGCAAACACAATACATAAATATTACATGAACTAACAAGTAGAGACTTGTAAAACATAGGTAATAATATGCAGCAAGAAACCTCAAAATTTCTCTCTTAGGTGAGTCTTCAAGATGCAACTTTTCATATAATAAATAATAGAAAGAAAACCTGACACGGTAAATTATTATTGAAATGCGAGATTTCCCGGAAAAATAAAATTTTCCGGGATTTTTCTCATAGGGAATAAATGGCGAGAATCCCAGGAAAGAAACCCTAGACCACACCCACATTCTGTGGAGATATTTATCATGGTAGTAACCAGATCTAAGTGTGATAGTGGCTCGGACATCACCTGGGTTAAAAAGATTCATGTTTGTGGGTTAGGCAGAGTTTGAAAAATAGGCCACAGTCTCCCTTGGTTACCGGTGGCAAAAGCAGCACCGGCCCAAGCATGGCTACTACAATGCTCTCGACAGAAGTGAAGAACCAACCTAGCCCTGGTGTTTCTGTGACAATACCCACCACAAAGATTGGAAAACCATGCCAACGGATGAAATGGACATCAGAAATGAACGAGTTTATCATTCGTACTTACTAAACCATCACAAGACTCGAAACAAACATGATAACGTCCAGACAACAACTATACCATAGATTCACACAACAATATCCTCACCTCACTGTCACTGAACAAAGGGTTGTTGATCAAAAAAGAACAATTATACCCAACAACCTTATCCCACAAACAACACTTGAACTTACTTTTGCTAATCAAATATATCAACAGAAAGAAACATTTAACATTAATAAAGATCACGTAACCTGTCAGGATAATCCAGAAACAAACACTGATTATAGCACACACACAACAATCTACCACTAATGATACTAGACACTTCCTCATCCACCACTGATAACATAGACATAGATTTAGTTAATATGCTGTCACTTATAGGAAACACTCACTAAACATACAGGTACAGATCTCAGACAAAGACCATGAATACCAAAAATCAACAAATCAAAGGAAGTAGGAAAAACACTAAATTAAACACTCACTTACTACCACACTACATTCACTCAATTTCTAAACTTTCAGACATTCATACATTAGTTTATGCTGGGGCAGTCACAGTAGTGACACCATGGACTGAAAATACAATCACAGATGGACACACACAAAACAATTCTATCACAAGCCTGCCTGGCAGAGAAGAAGATAAATGACATTAGACAGCAATTAGGCAGGCTGACACAATACACTAAAAACAACATAACACCCAAATTAAAGAAACAACTCAAAAACATTTTCAAGAAAATTAAAACACACACAAAACATGAACATCACAACACACACATTACAGAATACATCGATACACTAAAACAAAAACTCGCAGCCAAAGCACGTAGACTCAAACGATACAAAACATGTACATTACGAAAACAACAAAATAAATTATTCACAAACAATGAAAAACTTTTCTACAGACAAATCAGTACCAAAACAAACACTGATACACAGCACAGTGGCACACCAACAGAAGAAGAACTCACAACTTATTGGTCTTCTCTTTGGTCCAATGCTGTTACACACAATGCTGATGCACGCTGGATCGAGGAGGAGAACAAAAACTTACATAACATATCAACTATGCCTTGTACTGAAATAAACATACATGATGTCCAGTACACTGTTAACAGAACACATAACTGGAAGACACCTCGTGTAGACAACATTCACAATTTCTGGTATAAAAAGTTTACTCACTGCACCAGGAACTAGCTACATCATCATCATCAACCCACAAGACATGCCAAAATTTCTTACTTAGTGCATCATCTACATGAAACCTAAAAACAACAATATCACAGACCCCACACAATACAGACCAATTACAGTCGACCCCCCTGTAACATGGTAGATACATTCCTGTTTTTATGAATCCATCTTCTAGGAGTCCATCCAATCACAGCCCGGTACGTATGCAGTTTACGGACTATGGCTGTTTGAAAGGTTTTCTTCCATAAAATTAATCGATTCTAGACTAATTTGACTCAACATTTCCAAAACACGTATAATTTTTTGGGAATAATCCATATAAACTATGCTATAAACAAAAAATTGTAGGATTACTTACCGAGTGTGCACCGTTCGACTACGCCGTTGCTTAAGCTTGTTTTCGTCGTGGAGATTGTCATCGAATGGCGTTCACGTGCTTCCTGATAAATTATTTTTTTTGCAAAAAATTCGCTGAACTTTAGAGACATCATTAATATAAATATAATTTTTATGGACTTTAAATAATAAATGGTTTTTGGTAGGTCCGCTGCTCATTTAAACTCAACAGTTTGTGCAATATCCGCTATTGGTCTAGATTCGATCAATCCTGTCACGACACGAGTTGGCGATGACGTTTTACCAAATTATAGGAGTTTTTTTAGCATGTTTGTACGAATACTGTCGAAATTTTTCCGCCGTGATATAGGAATCCAAACTATAGAAACCCATGTTATAGGGGGGGTCAACTGTACATGTCTTCCAACACTACAAATTATTGACATCCTATATCGTAAACAAAATTTAAAAACATGTTGAAGAACACAACATTCTTACAGAACAACAAAAAGGTTGCCATTGAAATCAAAGGACATACAAATGGAGTGACTGATGCCGATGAGGTTTGTGAGGAGAAATAAAGCCAAGAGTGACTGAACCCACATCTGTGGAGATCTAACCATGGTGATAACACAATCCAAATATAATACTGGTTCTGACATTGCCTCAGGTTAACAAGGTTCATGCTCATGAATTAGGCAGAGGATCATGTTTGACAAATTTGTCACAGTCTCCCTTGTCCACCAGTGGTAAAGTAGCACTGGTCCAAGTATGGCTACTACAATGTCCACACCAGTTTTGTGAAACCTGCCTAATTTTTTTGTTTTAAAGCAATCCAGTCACAGAACACTAAGAAAAGTAAACCACCCAATGGATGAAATGGATGTCAGAAATGAACAAGTTTATCATCCATACTTTCTTCACCATCACAAAACTCAAAACAGGCATGACATCATACAGACAACAGTAACATCACTTGTTTTCACAACATTATCCTCATCTCACAGTCACTGTACAAAAGATTGTTGAACAAAAAGAACAATTTGTTGTTTAGTATGTTCTATTGTTGTTTATGGTATAAATTTGTTATGTATAATAACAAACTTATACGACATGAAAACAATAGAACATATCAAACAAAAAACTGCAGAACAATTACACCAACAATAACAACAATCACATTATCCATCAGGATCATCAGGATACATGCATTGGCAATACTGTTTCTACCATCATTTTCACTGATACTGACAATATCAACACTTCTTCACTGCCTGAAATGAATTCAAATTTAATTCATACTCTCTCTCTTCTTTTCCAAGAAGCACTCACTAAAGTTACAGGCACTGACCTTGTACAACAGCCAAGCATTCCCAAAATCAACACTTCTAAACTAGTAGGTAAAATACTACATTATGTGAACAGTTACATGTTAACAGATTGCACTCATTCTGTTTCTACACACTCAGACATCCACACACTAGTCTATGCTGGCACTGTCACAGTAGTCACTTACCATGGACAAAGACTACATCCACAGACAGAAGCACATAAATCAAAAACCCTTCAGAAGCCTGTTTGGCAAAGAATAGCAAAACACAAATAAACAATATTAGACAACAGCTAGGCAGGTTGACACAAATTAATGAAACTACTAAAATAAATTTTCAAGAAAATTAAAACACACACCAAGCATGAATACATATATTTAAGCTTCATTGAGTTAATTAAATGATTTGATGAGATTTTCTAATAGAAAAGTTTTAATGAAAAGGAAATTGAAAAAATTTTAGTTAATGTTAATATTTGCTTATGAATCTGCAACAGGTAAAAGATAAACTCTAAAAAATTTGCAGGGCATGAGGCCTTACAGTTTTCTGTTAACATTGATACACAATCTTCTTTACTAACTTTTATACTGTACTTTTGAGAATATTTACATTACATCTACAAACTTATCCACCAAATTTTAAAATATAGCAAATACTTTCCAAAATAAGTTTGTGAAATAAGAAATATATTTTTAAAAAAATTAAGATTTACTAACATTTCCTCTAACTCTTCCAAAGATTTGAAAGGCCTCTTTGTCTCAATATTCTTATTCTTCAAAGTAGGTGTTTGTGAATCATAAGCAATATTACTGTTGCTGATGTGCAGTTCATTAAGGCGTGCTACCATTTTTTCTTCGCTGATATACTGTTTTGGTGGTTTTAAGCTATAAAAATATAATGATAGAAAAAAATTCTGTAAATAACTATTATACATTTGTACAAATGAAATTATATTTATTTCATAAAAACTTCTTAGTAATTATTAAATCAATTTTGTATTTTTTGAAATCTTACTTTAAATTTCGTTTATCAAAGAATATAGTTGCTCTTGTAGTAATATTTCTTTTGAGATTATGTTATAAAATAACATGCAAAATATTTAATACCCTTGTTGCCAATTGTTTCCTGATAATAGAGAGCTTTTTTGTAAATAAAAGATATTTTTGACAGATTAAAAATATGATAAAAAATGAATAATTAGAAGTTCAGTATTTTTTTGATAATAATGATAATAGTTAATTCAGCCTTAATAGATATACTATGAGTTTCTCATATTCATTGTGAATATGAGAAATTTTGTAATACAGTGGAACCACACTTAACGGGCACCTTGCATAATGAGTGTTTCACATAACGAGCAAAACAAATTGTAAAAAATTGCCTTGCTTAACTAGCGATGTTTCACATAATGAGTGACGAAGAGAGGGAAAGTCCCAAATTGTGTGCATGCTCCATCAATCTGTGTTCAGCACGCATTCCTCTAGCATCTTAGTGTTGCATGTGATCACATATTTTTCCAAACTTGTGATCACACAAATTACTTTTAAACATCAACAACCATAGCCCGTTATATAATAAACACACCAAACGGTATTCCAAATTCTTGGGCTATGTAAAGGCTATAATTAAATATTAGAAATTAATTAATTTGACTATAGGTAGACAGTTATGCTGCCATCTCATATTAAATTTAATGACCAATTCCAAATTAAATTTTAGAAATGTCTGAATTAAAAATGAACTATTTATAATTATTAAATTTAATACAAGATGGAAGCATAATTGCCTACCTCTAGTGAAATTAATTAATTTCTAATATTTAATTATAGCTTTTACATAGCCCAAGAATTTGGCATATCGTTTGGAGTGTTTATCAAACATATTATCAATGATTTTTTTGTTTTCTGCAAATCAAATTCGCATTTCAGGTTGGTTCAGTCCATGCTAGAAGAAATGACGATGATGATTCACGCTCCTTAACAATGCACATTGTACAATTTTCTTTGAATAAACATTATACATAAAATATTTGAATATTTTTTTTGGCATGGAATGCATTATCATATTTTACATTATAAATATTCAAGTTGTGACCTTCAGTTCTGACATTTTATATATTTTTTATTTTAATCTAAAACATCAGCAAATGTTACATGTATACTGGTAAATGTTACTGGTAATCATATGTTTATTACAAAAATTTATATTCTCGTTCAATATGAAGTGAATAAAGTATATTAATTCATTATATTAGTTGATAGCAGAATAAAGTTTTGATTTCAAACAAATGTTTGATATAATGTGTGATAATTTCACAACGAATAAACATACATGCATGCGTTATATACAGTTGTACAGATCAATATTCTACATCTTTCTGGCTCATTGACAGCAAAAAACTAGGTAACTAAACAATGTTAATTTTGACAAAAAGTTACAAATTATCAAGTTTAAATGTCAGTTCTGATATATATTATTTTTTTTCTTATAAATTTTTCTAATAAAATGTATTGAAAAATATTCTATTTAAAACACTATTCTATATATAACATATTCTATTTAAATCATGTACATTTATTTATATCTTTAGTTTTATAAAGATATTAATAAATGTACGTGATTTTTTCATATGAATATAATATAATGATAATTTGATTTTTGGTGAATTTTTAAAATAATATTGCCTGACTGACCTATATTGCCTTAGGACAGTTTACAAAATTAACATAAACAAGATGGTGGTGGTAAAGGGTTAATTTCTATGGGAAAAATTGTTTCGCTTAATGAATGTTTCATATTACGAGTACAATTCTGGAACAAATTATGCTCGTTAAATGAGGTTCCACTGTAGATAGTATTTTACAGTTTGATAATTTAATTGAAACAGACTACCATCTATGACAGAAGTTCCCAACTTGGCTTCCATCAACAAAATTTGGGGTTTCACAATAAAATCAATTGAGTCTAATGGTGTATGAATGTGCCAATGCAGATTTGTGATGTGAGGTATAACTGTTCTAGTCTCCAATGGAATCCTCTTATGATATCCTAAACATGTGCTAGTTATTTATAGATTTATAAACAGTGGAGACTGATTTATCAACAATGGAACAAAATGAAATCTTGATATAATGTTTGGCAAAATAATAAAAACCATAAAAATGGTAAAACTTAACCTAAAGCTAGAAAATCATTTTAAAAAATCTATAAAGTATCCAACATACAAATTAGAATACAATCATTAATTAATGTACCATTATCTATAGTATGTTGTAGCCCAATGGTGCAGAGTACAAGCAGGAATATCAGACAAACATCATTAAAGTTTTACACTGCAATCGTTTTGTGATATTTTAGGTATTTTTCATATAAAAATATAGTAGGAATTATATAAATTTATAGTGCTTTAAGTATTGTGTATACCCCAAATTAAAAAATCATGGAGCATTGGTTGAGAAGAATTTTGATGAAAAATATAGCAAGTTCTTCAAATGTTTTTTGTGACAAGACTGAAAAAGTGGATTCAAACAAAGGTACAAATCCAGGCACTAGCACTGTTTAAAATATTGAAAGAAAGAAGTTCAACCCTTCACATTAAAGACCAGTTTGAATTAAGTAATAATACTTGCTTTCCATTATTAATCTTTTTTCTTTTGCATTTTTAATAAATTGTTTTTTATGTTTCTATTTGCTGTTTTATCTATAATCATTAAAAACTGTCAGGGTTCCAACACTTTTTACTAACGTGAAAAGAGTTCTGCAATAAAAATAAGTTGGAAATCTCTGATCTATGGTATGGTCTATTTCAATCAATATAAATAATCAGATTAATTTTCAACATTTAATGTTCCTATTTACAGGTTTAATAATTTAAAAATTTTTAACAGAAATTACTTTTATAATTATAAACAAATTTGTGTCTACATATGAAAAAACAATATTCTAAATTATGCATTTTGATGCTGTAAAGTTATGTATAATTAATATTAAAACTCAAATCTAAAATACAATTTTCCAATTACATTAAATTCTAAAAGTTAAAGTAAATTATCAAAACAGATTTACTTTTCTGGACTGTCACTTTTTCTCTTCAAATGCTGATGATTGTTTGGTTTATTTTGAGATGTTCCAAGATTATGCAAAAGTTCCCAACTAGTGGCTGTTTGTGAAGTGCAAGGATCTGGAGGAAAGGGTGCTGTAAACTGCATTACTGGTGTCTGTAGTGTAGTAGTCCACGGCATATAGGTAGGTACAGTATGAGCCCATGAATACGTTGGAGTAAATGAGGTAGAAGTTGTGCTACTAACAAATGATGATGATGGAATATTGCCAGCAGACCAACTTGACATTGAAGATGGAGACATAACACTGAAATATTTAAAACTTTAATTAGATTTTAAGATAAAATATAATATATATGGCAAATCAAATTCGCATTTCAGGTTGGTTCAGTCCATGCTAGAAGAAATGACGATGATGATTCACGCTCCTTAACAATGCACATTGTACAATTTTCTTTGAATAAACATTATACATAAAATATTTGAATATTTTTTTTGGCATGGAATGCATTATCATATTTTACATTATAAATATTCAAGTTGTGACCTTCAGTTCTGACATTTTATATATTTTTTATTTTAATCTAAAACATCAGCAAATGTTACATGTATACTGGTAAATGTTACTGGTAATCATATGTTTATTACAAAAATTTATATTCTCGTTCAATATGAAGTGAATAAAGTATATTAATTCATTATATTAGTTGATAGCAGAATAAAGTTTTGATTTCAAACAAATGTTTGATATAATGTGTGATAATTTCACAACGAATAAACATACATGCATAAGTGTTATATAGAGTTGTACAAAACAATATTCTAAATTATGCATTTTGATGCTGTAGAGTTATGTATAATTAATATTAAAACTCAAATCTAAAATACAATTTTCCAATTACATTAAATTCTAAAAGTTAAAGTAAATTATCAAAACAGATTTACTTTTCTGGACTGTCACTTTTTCTCTTCAAATGCTGATGATTGTTTGGTTTATTTTGAGATGTTCCAAGATTATGCAAAAGTTCCCAACTAGTGGCTGTTTGTGAAGTGCAAGGATCTGGAGGAAAGGGTGCTGTAAACTGCATTACTGGTGTCTGTAGTGTAGTAGTCCACGGCATATAGGTAGGTACAGTATGAGCCCATGAATACGTTGGAGTAAATGAGGTAGAAGTTGTGCTACTAACAAATGATGATGATGGAATATTGCCAGCAGACCAACTTGACATTGAAGATGGAGACATAACACTGAAATATTTAAAACTTTAATTAGATTTTAAGATAAAATATAATATATATGTTAATTTAGAAAAAAAAAATTATTATAAAATACCTTCAAGATAATTCAAATCTATTATAAATGCTGTATTACAATCAAATATCTTTTTGATTAATCTCTAATATGAATTTTAATAATAAAATCATATTTTGAATATTCTGTTTTAAAAATTATCTGGAATGTAATATTTAAAGTGATTGAGCTTTATATTGGCACTTCTTTCTTTAGCGGTGCTGAATCTTGTTTCCCATCTTACGTATTCTTGACTGGTAATATTCAGTTCTTTAATAATCGTTTCAATATTGGGAACAATAAATTCTGGGGTTGGTAAAGGAGCAGGAGCAAACAATGGACCATATTTTAACGCTTCTAAGAGACACTTAGGAGGTGTGATATTATCCCATGCCGTTATAAAATCGTTATTATTAAAACGAGGTTTGACGTTCTGGTAACGTAATAACCATTTGAGTTTTTCGACATATTTATGTTTTACACATTTTTCATATGAGAAGGCTAAATAGCAGGTAAAGCGTAAATATGTCAAAAAACTCAAATGGTTATTACGTTACCAGAACGTCAAACCTCGTTTTAATAATAACAATTTTATAACAGCATGGGATAATATCACACCTCCTAAGTGTCTCTTAGAAGCGTTAAAATATGGTCCATTGTTTGCTCCTGCTCCTTTACCAACCCCAGAATTTATTGTTCCCAATATTGAAACGATTATTAAAGAACTGAATATTACCAGTCAAGAATACGTAAGATGGGAAACAAGATTCAGCACCGCTAAAGAAAGAAGTGCCAATATAAAGCTCAATCACTTTAAATATTACATTCCAGATAATTTTTAAAACAGAATATTCAAAATATGATTTTATTATTAAAATTCATATTAGAGATTAATCAAAAAGATATTTGATTGTAATACAGCATTTATAATAGATTTGAATTATCTTGAAGGTATTTTATAATAATTTTTTTTTTCTAAATTAACATATATATTATATTTTATCTTAAAATCTAATTAAAGTTTTAAATATTTCAGTGTTATGTCTCCATCTTCAATGTCAAGTTGGTCTGCTGGCAATATTCCATCATCATCATTTGTTAGTAGCACAACTTCTACCTCATTTACTCCAACGTATTCATGGGCTCATACTGTACCTACCTATATGCCGTGGACTACTACACTACAGACACCAGTAATGCAGTTTACAGCACCCTTTCCTCCAGATCCTTGCACTTCACAAACAGCCACTAGTTGGGAACTTTTGCATAATCTTGGAACATCTCAAAATAAACCAAACAATCATCAGCATTTGAAGAGAAAAAGTGACAGTCCAGAAAAGTAAATCTGTTTTGATAATTTACTTTAACTTTTAGAATTTAATGTAATTGGAAAATTGTATTTTAGATTTGAGTTTTAATATTAATTATACATAACTTTACAGCATCAAAATGCATAATTTAGAATATTGTTTTTTCATATGTAGACACAAATTTGTTTATAATTATAAAAGTAATTTCTGTTAAAAATTTTTAAATTATTAAACCTGTAAATAGGAACATTAAATGTTGAAAATTAATCTGATTATTTATATTGATTGAAATAGACCATACCATAGATCAGAGATTTCCAACTTATTTTTATTGCAGAACTCTTTTCACGTTAGTAAAAAGTGTTGGAACCCTGACAGTTTTTAATGATTATAGATAAAACAGCAAATAGANATTAATGAGCAAAATATTCAATAAAAAAGAATAAAAACCAATCAAATAATAATCTTCAAGCAAGAATGTAAAACAAAAATTTATATTCTGGAAGCAAACATACCAATTGTTATAAATAATTTTTAATTCAAATTATGCCACAGTTATCAATAAAGGCTCTAATACAATAAACATTGATGAAAAAATTTGCAGTATTTGAACACAATGTTGTTTTTAATGTCAACCGATAGAATAATACATAACAAATCATAAACCATTTAGAATTTATAAGTAGAGCAACTATCTTCCTCCAAATAAATTCTTGATTTTTTTTTATTAAGAATTCTTTTGAAGGAATACAGATCATTCACACAATCAGTTATATGTATGGTTTAATAGTATTCTAAATTACATATATATTTGAAAGCAGATGAACAGAGACACATATATTATAATTGGAAATATATTTGTTTCTGGTTTATTGGCAAATATGTTTTTAATTATACCATCTGGAATAATCTTTCTTCCAGACATTCTAAATAATTTTTAAAAATTTAATTTAATATGAGACAACAGCACTGTCTATTTCTATATCAATTCATAAAATTTGTAAAATTATAATTGAATAAATCCAGATATAATTGATATATTTGTATAATTTGTTTGTATATTATTTAAAGTAATCTTTCTCTCCTCATCTATATAGGTTAATGTTGGAACTATAATATTTACAGAATTAAAATACTATCAAATTATTTTAAATTTTGATTCTCTTAGTTTTTAACTTATTTAGGGGCTACAGCAGACACATTTAGCACACACATTAACAACTAAGATAATCAAAATATTACATCAAAACTGATAAAAGTACAGTAAGACCCACTTAACGCGGAAGATGCGTTCCTAGATGACAAAGTGCTAAATGAAACAGTGTTAAACGATGTCATTTTAACATAGAGTAAATACGGATAGGGAAACATGCGACCGAAAATAAAAAAAATTTTACTTAAGTTATTTTTATATTAATTTGCATAATATTAGGTAACCAAAAAAGTTCTGTCGTTTTTGTGAAACTACAAAGTTTAAAGAATGTTACACGCAATACACAATAGATGACACTAAAATTCCAGCAATATGTTAATCAAGATTTAATGCTGACTCACCTTATATAAAGAGAAGTGTAAAGGTTATCTCTTAATATTATAAAAATTGACTTGAAGATGAGTACTCCAAACTCTGTAATTCGTGCTTGTATGTTGTATGAGTTTAAACTTGGAACAAGTGCTGTGCAAATGGCTCAAAAAATATGCCAGGCTTTTGGACAAGGTTCTGTTAGCACTCACACCACCCAAAGATGGTTTACAAAATTTTCTTCCGGCAATGAGTCGCTTAAAGATGCGCCATGAGAATGATGTTGAATTACAGGCTGCAATCGAAGAATATTCTGCTCAAACTTGTCAGATGTTAGCACAAAGGTTCTCCGTAAGTGATGAAACTGTCCGTTTACATTTGCATTGTCTTGGGAAAGTTTACAAGCTCAGTAAATGGATACTTCATCAATTGGCACCTGCCAATATTGTGCATATGGTGGACTGCAAATGGAATTGTTCACTATGAACTTATACCATCTGGCCAGACTATTACTGCTAATGTCTACAGTGACCAACTGCATTGAGTTCACCAATCACTTTTGAAAAAACCACCAGCTTTAGTGAACCATAAAGGCGTTCTTTTCCTACACAATAATGCTATAGACATCATGTTGCGCGTGTGACCTCTGACACAATTCAGACCCTTGGATGGGAACCTCTTTTGCACCCTCCTTATTTCCCTGACATTAGCCCTTCTGACTACCACCTATTTTTAAGCCTAGATAATCATCTGCGAAATTGACAGTTTAGAAATAGAGAGGTTATAGAAACGGAATTAGGGAAGTTTTTCAACTCTAAAAATCATGACTTTTATAAAAATGAAATTTATAAGCTTGTTTCCCATTGGGAACAGGTTATTGAATGTGAGGGTGGTTATTTTGATGAATAAATTGTGTTATTTCCTATACATTTTTATGTTTGTTTTCTGTCAACAAAAAACGACAGAACTTTTTTGGTTACCTGATAATATATGTTAAATAACACAAACATATGCACACAAAAATGTATAATAACATATTAATTATTTCATTTTTTCTAAATTAATAGTTCATTTTTTGTGACAAAGAAGGTCCTGACTTTTCTGAAATTCTTTCCTTAAGCAAATGTTGGTAGCAGAAGATCACATCTAAAACGCCTCGTTTTGCTTTTGCACTCCTTTCAAAATCTAGATTATTCGCTACAATTTGATCAATGATTTCAGCTATCATTACCAAACTTTTATTAAGGAAATCTGTAGAGAAATTTTTTGGGTTCTTCATTTCCAGAATCTCTATTTTCCAGTTCTACATGGATTCCTTGTTCTGCCAGTTCTTGAAGGTCACCGTTGGTAAGACACTCACCAGAAACCACAGTAACTCCTCAATATCCTGTTTGTCTACATCTCCTAGTCCTGCTGTATTGATTAGATTGAGTTTGATGAACCTAACAATACAGTGATAGGTTAATCAAACTCAACCTCTTCTTGTTGAGAATTCTTGGATACCTTCAGCCATAACTTCTTCCACACTTTGTTCATGCATTTATCAGTTAATCCTTGCCAAGAGAAGTCAATATCACCTAAGGCATCCATGATGTTATATTTTTTCCAAAATTGCACCAAACAAACAGATTTAAAGAAAGTACACCTTTTTGCTGCCTTTTTCTGATTGGTTCATGTTCATAAATAATTGTATTATGTATGAATCAATAAAATGCCACAATAATTTAAATCAGCGTATATTTTGAGCTTTTTTTTTTTAGGCTTTGAGCAGATGGCGTTATATCAAATCAGCATTAAGGAAGGCAGCATTAAGCGGGTTCTTATACTACGTTCGCACACAATCCACGACTCACTTCTATCTCAATTTATCTACAATCTCAATTGTGACTGTTGTCAGTCAAACATTGTGCTGTTCACACAAGTAGTCCACTTGAGAAGAACCCAGCTATTGCTCGTGATGATAAAACTGACATAACTACACGGCAAGTCACGAACACCAACAAACAAAATGGAACTTTTGGTTAGAAATAAATACAGTACTTTTTCTTGCCATATATCTAATAATAGACAGATGTCATCGTCTCACCAAATACAGTATCTTTTTTATTTCTCTGTTGATAGCCCAACACTTGTTCCACAGCCATCTTGTATTTTCTCGTGTGCATGGGATTGTGGTATCTCTCTTATGACTAGATCTAGTTTCAAGAACTCTCGAGTCGATTGCGATTGAACCTCGTTTCAGTCGAGATTGAAACGGTCAAGAGAGGTTGCATCATGGCATAGTCGCCGACCTTGGCCACAATCTACATTGAAATTCTCAGTGCAAACGGGGTATTACTGTATATTTAAAACCTTATTCATTTCTATAATGCACTAAATTGTCACACAAATGAACCTTGCACTGTTATTGTCACTAGTACTGAAATGAATTCAAAGATATAAATAATGCTGCTTTAATTCTTGAAATTACTGAAAATTCAAAATGTGCTAAAATGACTTTCATATACTGAGGTACTCTATAAAAATTAAAAACTTGTAAGTTTTTCTTTGAAATGAATTGTTTGGAGCCTTGAGTTTAAAATGTGAAAAATTACAAATAAATAAAAATAATTTTACAAATTAAAAAAAAAACCTCATCTGATGATTATATGAGGTGACCAAAAGTTTATGTAGTTTTTGCAATAGCCACTATTGCAAAAACTACATAAACTTTTTTTTAATCATCTACTAATTTCTTAAGAATGGTGTAAATAAACCAATGAAAATTTTAAATATTAAATGTAGTTAATTTAAGTTAAATTAAAGAAATTTCTTTCTTGTTCAAAATCAACTTTCAATAATTGAAAATGGCAGTTCAAATTTAAAAATATTATGCTTAAAATTGTATAATCTGGAGGAAATTACACAAGTTTCATAATAATGATGATTAATACTGATGATTCATTATACATCATTAGTATCTTTATTAGTATCGTTATTGTTTACAAAACTTGAAAATAATTTTCTTTTAAAAATTGTAATTAAATATCATAAAATTTAATTTTTATTCTTTAATCTAATGTTTCTGATTAACAGCTCAATTATATCAATACTNAGCTGCTGTAAATATCATAAAATTTAATTTTTATTCTTTAATCTAATGTTTCTGATTAACAGCTCAATTATATCAATACTTTAGTCAATTAAATAATAGTCTTCTGAAAACAAAATAGGGTATTTGCTTTTTACAGTTTTCAGTAATCAATTATAAAGTGGAATTACAACATATCAAATTTGACAGAGATTCAGAAAGTAAAATAAACAACTCATTTACATAATTTACAATGGAAGGCAAAAACTGAGGTAATAAAATTAATTTACAAAAAACATAGTTAATTAGAACTAATGAACCAGGCTTATTATACTCCTAGTGCATCTAATTAACTCTTACAGGCAAGAAGCTTTTCAATATAATAAAATTAACATTTATCTTTGATGTTTCATCATCCAGAAATTTCTGTTAAGAGTTGCTGAAAATAATCTTCTAAGAAATATTTGATCTAAAAATACAATATTTTAAATTACTGACAAAACTTAGTTTTAACACAAAATTTGAATAAAAAAACGTACCTAGTTGGAGATGTACCGTCAGGGATATTTGATGGAAAGAGTGTAAAATACATACTGATAACAATACCTAAATTTAAAAATAATTAATATAATTATTAATTTATATTATATAAAAATAAATATTAATAAATAATAATATTTATTCATTAATATTATTCTTTACTTGATGATGTAATCATTACTGATCCATTTACAAAATTATATTATTTCCATTAAGCCAAACTTTCAATTCCTGAATCAAAACAGAACCAACACTAAAGTTTCAGGACTTTGCACAAGAAGACTGGAATTATTAATAAGTTTTGAAATTAGTATGATTCTCTGATTAGTTTCTATTTAATATTTAATTACAGAGAGAGATTTGGCCATTTTCTTGGCAGAATTGTTGAAAGACAATTGAAATTTAAAGTTTTTGCTTTTCAGTTTATCACTGCACATTAACATACTAGAAATATGTGGATGATTTATTAGAAGTGTGGAAGGGCAATGATGAAAATTTTTGTTTATGAGATCTTAAATTTTGAGAAGGATATTATATTACATTTATATGCACACAACATGATGTATATTGAAGCATGATATGCTACATTACAAAGTATATAAACCTGTATGTTCAGGACACCCACAAAATAAAAAATTCATTTAGCAGTTTGACTATTAATTATGAAAAATATTAATCAAATTCAGAAAATTTTAGCACAATCCTATTTTCCAAAATATTGAAATTCATTTCTTCTTTGTATGCAGCATAATTTATTGTTACGTAAGCTCCCTTAAACTATGCTGCAATGGAAAACAGAAGAACTATGAAATTTTGAATCATAGATGCAGGATGGGATTGTGTGCACATTCCATAACTGCACTGTGCTGTTTTTATGAAACAGCACGCTTTTTTTTTTCTAACATTTAGTTTTGCAAAGTAAATTAAAATATTTTTCTACTTAACAAGATGCATCTGTTAAAATAGAAATTTCAAAAAAAAAGGAAAATCTTTAAATCTCACAACTAGTCTTTAGTCTGTTTATTTTTTAATAATAAATTATTTTTTACAGACATACGGAAGTTTTTCAACTCTANACTTATATTATCAATGAACGAAAAGCTGCTAATTTGATGTGTTCTAGATCTGAGGAATTCTTAGGAATGATAACGGGTTGATAAACCGGCTTGCGGTATATATTTGTTCTGATCTCACCCTCTCTGCATGTTATTGTTAAATCTAAGAAGTTAAAACTATTCTCACTTTCCTGGTCTAGCTCCAATGTTAATCCATAAGGATTATTGTTGATTAAGCTTATAAAATAGCATATGTTATGATTGTTTTTCCACAAAATAATGATATCATCCACATATCTTGCATATATTAGTATATCTTTCTGGAAAGTGGGTAGGATATTGCCTTCTAGCTTACCTGATTTGATTTGCCACACATCATTCTTTGATTTTGAAGGAAAAACGTACCTGCAAGGACAGAACATACCAATGGGTAGCCCAATGTTAGCGATACTTTGTGAATTAGTATTGCGTAAGCTAGAAGGCAATATCCTACCCACTTTCCAGAAAGATATACTAATATATGCAAGATATGTGGATGATATCATTATTTTGTGGAAAAACAATCATAACATNTTATCGAGAGCCACAAATAATCCTTCAAAGAGCCACATGTGGCTCGCGAGCCGCAGGTTGGCGACCCCTGGTATAGAGTATACCCCTATCAGGCTATATTGCTTGTATCTTCTCTTATCATATTGTAACAGTCTGTACACAGTAGGATTACACCTATAAATTATTTTTATATTCCTATTTCTGGAAAATTTCTTAGCGATTTTATTTAGTAACGGATAGTAATTAATCACAACTCTTTCCCTTTGTGCAGCTCCTCGCCACTGTTGGTTCTGTTTTTGCATCTTTGTTATAAGTGTATCGATTACCCTTCTTCCGTATCCTTGTTGCACCACTGTGCTTCGTATATAATCCAATTCTTTATAAGTATCATATATGCTGGCACATTGCACCAGCATATATGATACTTATAAAGAATTGAAAAACAGAACCAACAGTGGCGAGGAGCTGAACAAAGGGAAAGAGTTGTTATTAATTACTATCCGTTACTAAATAAAATCGCTAAGAAATTTTCCAGAAATAGGAATATAAAAATAATTTATAGGTGTAGTCTTACTGTGTAAAAAATGATAAGAGAAAATGTGAGTATAATAGCGTGACAGGGGTATACTCTATACCAATAAAAGACCATAGGTTTAACTCCAACCTAATATATATAGGAGCAATGATGTGGAACTTGAAGAAAAGGATTGATGAGCACAAATACTCAGTGAATAGAAGCATTGANAGATATGTGGATGATATCATTATTTTGTGGAAAAACAATCATAACATATGCCGTTTTATAAGCTTAATCAACAATAATCCTTATGGATTAACATTGGAGCTAGACCAGGAAAGTGAGAATAGTTTTAACTTCTTAGATTTAACAATAACATGCAGAGAGGGTGAGATCAGAACAAATATATACCGCAAGCCGGTTTATCAACCCGTTATCATTCCTAAGAATTCCTCAGATCTAGAACACATCAAATTAGCAGCTTTTCGTTCATTGATAATATAAGTATCATATATGCTGGCACATTGCACCAGCATATATGATACTTATAAAGAATTGGATTATATATGGAGCACAGTGGTGCAACAAGGATACAGAAGAAGGGTAATCGATACACTTATAACAAAGATGCAAAAACAGAACCAACAGTGGCGAGGAGCTGAACAAAAGGAAAGAGTTGTGATTAATTACTATCAGTTACTAAATAAAATCGCTAAGAAATTTGCCAGAAATAGGAATATGAAAATAATTTATAGGTGTAATCCTACTGTGTACAAGCTTTTAAAAAACGATAAGAGAAAATGTGAGCGTAATAGCGTGACAGGGGTATACTCTATACCTATAAAAGACAATAGGTTTAACTCCAACCTAATATATATAGGAGCAATGATGTGGAACTTGAAGAAAAGGATTGATGAGCACAAATACTCAGTGAATAGAAGCATTGATAGTACGGTCCTCACAGCGTTTGCGAAGCAGCAGGACATCACAGTATTCTGGGATCAAGCAGCAATTATTACACCTACAAGATCCACACAAGCAGTGAGACACCTGGAAAAAGTAGATACACAAAGTGCAGATGACTGTGCAGTACATCAATTACAGGGATGCCAATGGTTTATCAGCAGCCTGGAAGTCCTTTTATGATAACATGGATTAACAGTCGCAACCATGTAGATGGCATTATTAATTGGTTTTATAATATTTACTTGGTGTATACTTTTTGTTTATTTTTAATTATTTGGTTTATATTTTTCATTTTTGAGAACAGACATGCACCTTAATGTTAACTTGTGCATCCGCGCTTTGAATTTTTGTATTATTTGAATACTTTGTTCGTTATATTGATGGAATGTGAACTGAAGAAGATCGCTTAAATTGGTCGAAAACGTTTTTAGCGTATTAAACGTTGTGCTGGACTAGTAAAAGGTGTTTGTTTATTTTTAAATTATTTAATTAGTTCCAGTAAGCATTTATTTATCATACAGAAGATTCATAAAAAGGTTAGAGAGAATTGCCAATTCACATTCAGAACTTTCTAGTAAGTCAGAACTTTCCATGGATTTCACATACAGTTCTTCATGAAGTGATCATTGGCATGATTAAATCACAGGTGACAGAAAAATTGTAACACGGCTATGCCAAGCATTTAAATTTAGCTGGAAACTGTTAAAAATTTGTAAAGGTGTAGTTTTAAGTTGTATATAATAAAATTCCTTTCACTATACTGATTTTTTTTAATAACTAAATGGAAGTTACTTCTGGATAGCCCTCTCATTAGATGATCAATTCCTCTAAGTTTATGCTCTTTATCCATGGCTGTGATACATTAATGGTCTTCTTATAAAATATCAATAGAATCTTAAAAGTTGTGATATTTGCATTTCTCAAACTTAGTCTTTAGTTTGTCAGAATGTTACTTTTTATTTTCAGTTAATTTAAAAATGCAATTTAAATGAAGTATTCTGCAAAGGATATCTAATAACTGAAAAATTTTATCATTAAAAGGCAAAATTTCTTCAATTATACTTTTCATCTAAATAAGTTAATATTGTATTATTAATTTGATGAAGATCTAGAAATCAACAGCAGCATTAAATTCTCTGAGCAACACTGAGACAAATCAGACAAGGTTAAAACAATAGATACATCAACAAAAGATTAAATATACACAGTTAAGACAGCAATAAATGACAATTAGTACTTTGTAATGATGACAAAAATAAGACAGGATGAAGAACACATAGATTAGACAATGGCACAATAGTAATGACACATACTAATACAAAGGAGGAACAGATTAGTTTATTTTACAGTGATGACAAACATTAAAAATAGAAGAATGTAAATTTATCATTTACGTATACATGTTTCATATAAATTTTGGTTATAGATATTCCAAAGTAAACTTAGTACCTAAAATTGTAATCTATAAAACAGTGATGACAAACATAAACTGAATAAGCAAGTTCAAATATAACAATAATCTTTAATATCTTTCAAATATTTTCACCTAGTTTATGTAATTATTTTCAGGTTTAATCAAAAAATTCTAAAATGGCTTATATTCTAAAATGTTTTGTGATTAAGTGACACAATTATGCACTATATGATATTTTGAATGATGTAAAGAATTATTTAAAACCTAATCTAAAAATAAAACAAGAATTAAAAATTAATTTATTATTAATTTTATGTATAAATCTGAAGACAATTATAAAGTGGTTGAAAAAATTTGCTTTTTGAAGCCATGTAGCCTAATTTAATCTGGCAATCACAGTTATTTGGCTTTAATATAATTATCAAGCTTTGATATGATTATATTTGATTTTTGCTCATGTAATGTTGGATATTAAGAGGTTGTTGTTATATCAATTGAAATTTGTTACAGTTTTACTTTCTACACTGAAATAACAGCAACAGGGAGAATTATGTATAATTTA